AACTTTCGATCCAAATCGGTGGTTTAAAATTAGTTTGTGCTCGGTCTGTCATTGTTTTAAGCCAATTTGCTTTTAGCACGTATCAAAATAAACTCATGGTGGTTTGGTTTTATCGAAAATTCTTTGTCTATTATCTGCCATCAGCGTAGCATTTTAATTACATGCTTTATAACAAATAATATAATAAAAGGTACACTTGCAACTTTTGAGTTTTAAATCCTTGTACATAAACTTTTGATAGGAGCACTTTAATTAAAGTGGGTTTAGTTCTCTTTTATGCCTTTTTTCTTATCTGTCACATCGCTCGTTTGGTAAAGTACTGCCGTAATTGCCACTGTTACATTTAGAGATATATACGTGTAACCATTTAAAACGTACTGCTCTATGTAAGTCATTTGTTATGTTTAAAAGAATTAGAAAAAAAACACATTCACGTAATAATTACACTCCATTATTAAATTTTTCATTAATTTAAAATATCATTATCCTATTTTAAAATTGTCAATGTATCTAATAGGTTTACTTGCGTTTCTTGATGGTAGTCGTACGTACGTCCATGTACCTTTGAAACATTAGTGTGTGTTATATTTTGGAAATTACCTATCAGTTTATGTGTAATAATACCATCGCACTTATCGTACATACATTTGTACGTAACACAACCACACTTGCTATTTACATTATAGCAAGATATAATAGTAAATTTAACCGCGTTTATAAATCTCAGTGACTAGGGGAGCTGGCGGAGGCAGAGGTCTCCAGGCGAGACGCGGCACGCACTCCTGCGTACCTATCCATATTTAGTGGCTCCGCTTGCTCAGTTTATCACACTTCAAAGCGCACAAGTAAGCGTCGACTTGTAACCGCGTCTCCCCAGCGATACCCCTGTAACTAGGAAGCCGCTTTGTGAAATTCGCGATGGTTTTTGACGTAGACGCGACCCCCATTCGGTTTTTCGAGGTCGGCCCGCTTCCCCCTCACATAATACGAGTAACTACCTCGCACCGTTTCTGCTACCCTGGTACTTAACACGCGGTAACAACGCGGTTTCTGCACCTAGTTTCTCACGAAACTTGGAGTGAATGTGGGTGTTTAATTATTTATTCAATCTGTTAGAAGATTTTTCGGTACATGTTCCCTTGTTTAGTTTAAATCGGATTAGTGAACAATGCGTCATTTGATACCTGCTAAACATCGTAATTATCATCAATATTAAAAAGCGATCGCAGGCAAATGTTATACGGTTGTCGGCACACCTTACGAATCAGTTTTATGTAGGACAAGTCTTTACAAGTTTTAGTAAGTAATGACATCGCAATTAATTATTATTATGTACTAACTGTTAAAAGTCTTTGTACGCTAAAAATTGTTTCTTACATAAAACCTTAATATAGGAAATATGTTTTTTAAAGAAATTTGGAATTTTAATATCTTGTTAACTTGCAGAGTTTTGAGAGTTGATTGTTTTATAAATTGTTCCACTGTTAGTTAAGGAAACATCTAACTATTAAGTTTTCAGAACATAGCAGTTCCGAGTTTAACATTCACTCTTAACTGACTTCTCCTACGTACCTCGTGACCAAACTGCAGCTCTCTAGTATATAGACTTACCCGACTGCCCGTTTGCCCCTATCCCATAAAAAAAAACTTCTGTGATCCCGCCTTGTCGCTCCGTTTTGAGCTGACGATTCATACCCATATACTTTTCGACTAATATACATCTTCATGAACTTTTCGAAATTTCAGCCAGTAAACAATTAGTATCTAAAATCAGTAGTAAGTATAATATTAGAGTAATTGCGTAGTAAAGGTAATACAGCACATTTTTACTCAAGTTTTAGGTTAAATTAACAGAGAGAGCAGAGTTATGTCATACAAAAAAAGGGGAGGCCTATCCATTTGTTAAAATATTGTATTTAGTCGATGCAAGTTCTAGGGGATTTTAGAGTCGGCTTCTGGAGCGTTTACAACCGGACTGTCCTTTTTGATGTGTATAACGTGATGCAGTAGAATACATTTATTGACGACAACTAATCGCTTGAACTTACCAAATAACACTTATTAAGGTAATAGTTAATGTCGTGCTCTGTTTCTTTTTAGTCATTTGGTCGATTTATGTAATTGCCTTTTCTGTTTCTAAACTTTATATAATAATTATTTTTTTTACAAGAAGTTAAGACTCGAAGCAATTTTATTGTTGTTCATTGATTTTTATACGTAATCCACTTTCCTGGATTTTTAACTTTTCCATTTAATGTTAAATAATGATAGTTTTATCAATTATTTTGAACGTTGTTGCTAATCGCGATATCTCTTGAGATGCTTCCATCTTCACTGTGACTTAGATTCTTCTTACTTCCTACTTAGTTACTTAATATTGTATGCCGTCGGCCCACTATAGATCAGAGTCCTTAAACGGAGACCACATTATCAAAATTAGTGCTCTCATGTGATCTGCTCCGTATAGATCACTGACAATTCGTGCCGTCTGTTCTACGCTGGTGCTAAGACAAAATTCGTATTCGAATTTAAAGTTAGTTCCATAAATAATGAAAAAAAAAACATAAATAAGTCTAGAATATAGCTTGTAGTAGTAAATTTGTAGTGACATAAGTGGGGTTTAACTTTTTTCAATTTTTCAATTTCATAACATAATTAGTTTGATTACTTAAATCACAAAGTCGCATCATTATCAGATGTGACCTTTTTTTGTACTGTACTATTTTTGTATTGTATTTTTTGTATGGATTTTGTACTCTAAGGGCAAAATAATTATACCTTGAAAATTTCGTGTAACTTAATAAAAAAAAGAATTTAAAAACTGCTTTTCATAGTAATCATAAAATTTAAAGAAACATCTGCCTCCGCTGTAGAAAGTTTTGTAAAAAGTGTTAACTCACCGTGGTTTTCTACCACTATACTAGGGGTACAGGTATGCTAAGAAGTGGGTCACATCAAAGTTGCACTTGATTTATAGAACCGTGGGACCAGTATAGACAGGATTGCGGGATATGGTTTAGCAATGCACAACTGACATTGCAAGCGTTTTTGGATAAAGTTTAAAAAATGCTTTGTTTTATTCCAATGACTAGTAAAACTTAATCTGTCATTATATGTATAAATGTACTTCTGAAAAAAATGATAGGTAAGGTAAGATATATAGTAATTTTATGAAAGATCGTAGCCGAGGTGGAGATGACATAGCTAATTGTCCTTCTCACTTTTTTTTAACTTCAGTGAATATATATATATCTATGTAGAAAAGCAATAGCATATGTTATACACAAAAAAACTATATTTCGTCATTGTTTTGTAGAATAGCCTCAGCTATAGTTTCCGTTATTCGAATGAATTTTTGCCACCGCCCATGTAATCGTCATTGTGTCCGATGACAGGTAGCGTCCGGCTCGGTAAATCAATGCCTGTTATGTACAACAGTCATCGCTTATGTGCCTATGTACTTCTGATACATACCCGATGTATGTATTGGTGTAGTGGATACGCGTGTACGTAGATAATCTCGTCATAGCTCGCACCCGTTATGGTATTACTGTGTGTGGGCGAAGGGGGTGTGTGGGGCATGAGGGAGCCGCGGGCCCCGCGAGTGCCGCAGGGGGGCGCTGTCCGCTTTAAAAATACTGGGGCGCAAGCAGCGGGCGAAACTACCGAGCAAGCAGAATGCTAAAGGAAGCCGTTTATTTTGAAAGGCCGACGACTTTCAACTCGTCTCTGCTCCTGCTTGAGACGGGTAAAAAGTTGTAGAAATGGCGAATAAAAAAGCGAACTCGGTGTAGCTATTAGTTGCGCGCTTGCAAAAATGTTTTTGGCTCATGAAACCGGCAGTTTTAAAGGAGTGTGCATGAAAGATTCAAATCTTAAGTTTAAGTTGGCAATGGCTAAGAATGATTTACATTTCTTAAAGTTCAAATTTAGGTCAATTGTTCTATCTCACAAACAATTAACTCTAATGACGTAAGGACAAACGTCTTCTTCCTAATGTGTTGAATTATCCATTTGCGTTGAAGTAAATTTTATGATGAGATGGAATTGAGAACTTTCAATTTGGTCATAAATAAAAGACAATCAATAAACACACCTTGTAAGTATTAAGAAGCGACCAGAGTAAGGATGTGGTCGCTCTCGCGCTCATTATCGATAATCACGACGACATTGTGTTTCACGTCCTTTGACGTTCGGAAAGCGTTCCAAATTTGTATTTTGTTCGTATTTTCATAATTGGGTGCGGGTGGGCAGGGGTATTGGGTGGTGCCGCGGGCGTCATCGCACCCCTTCGCGTGGGTATTTAATGATTATACGCTGACTGCCACCTGATTGCTGAGTACTACGACGCGCTATCGATGATTACTTGTTATCGATGAACTGATTGACATGGGGCGCAGTATTTTGTTTTGTTTTTGATGTCAATTTGATAGATACTGTTGTATTGAGGTCTAATAAAGTAAAAGTAATTGGTGCTGGTGGCTGGTGGCGCTGGTGGATTCCCGAAATTGTAACATAGCTCTTATAATGTAACAAGTATTATACTTTTCATTTGTGTAAAATGAAAAACTATTTTCTGTAAAAGCAGAATGATAAATTTTCAAAACCGTAAAGCCTTTTTATGATTATATATAGTTTAAATAATATATTAAACTTTCGTGATTTCAGTTGTTGAAAATATTGGGAAAAGATTATAATAAAGATATTTCACATATTTACAGTCGATAAAATAATTTCGAGTAAGTTCCTAATTCACAAATGTATATTAAGATATTTTTTTATTATTATAATTAAGATAAATATCTTAATTATATAAATATATATATAAATAAAATATTTAAAAAAAATTAAGAAAAAAAAATTGTTTTCTTGTAGATGTCTGCGCTAGACAGCTCTCTCTCAATTGACTATTTTGAAACCACAAACTACATTTGTGAATTGGGAACTTACTCGAAATTATTTTATCGACTGTCGATAAAGCCGACCTACCTATTGCAGCAATGTCACAGCGCGATCACTCGCGGGGTGGCAAGCACTACACGGGTAACACGCGGAGTGTGCTGGCGCGGGAGGGCGCGGAAGCGGGGCAAGGGGGCTACACCGCGGTACATAGACCATGTATCAGTATATACCAGGCCCTCAGTACATAACCGCTGGTGGATTCCCGAAATTTTGCAGTTATTTTGTATGGCAAACTAGGTTATTCCAGGATTTATTCGCCTATCGTCAGATAACCCGTCGAGTGATCATGTTGTTTCGAAGCAGTTTATTTTATGCGGCATCACCTGCCTGTCAAGTCTTTGCGGCAATATAGCGACACTTCTGCCGACACTGCTTTGTAACAGAGCAAACCTCTACCGGCCTCTTGCTCAGTCACTCCGTTATAGGTATAAAAAACTGGAGTTAAAGTATATTTCATCTAAATGCCTTTAATGCGTTCAAATACGTTCTTTTAACAAGGATACATTGTATAAGTCTATCTTCTCGACTTATCTACACATAAATTATAGTTTAAAAAACTAAAAAAACACGCTTTTATAGTTAGCCGAACTAAAAAGTAGGAAATAATTTTCTATAAGTTCAAAAAGAAGAATCATTTTATCTTAAAGAAGCGTTGGGTGATAGATCTCAAACTGTGTAACTTAGTCCAAGTAAAGTTTATTACATTATAAAATACCTTGAAAAGCACCCTACGCTTTTTTTGATAAAATGGTTTTTCTTTTTGAACTTACAGAAAATTATTTCCTGCTTTTTAGGCCAAAACCTCCTTTCTAAGGAGAGGCCAATGTCCAGCAGTGGACTAGTAAAGGCTGTTGATGAATATATTTATACATATCTTGACCTATATGACAATAAAACTTATGTCTCAGACAAATTTATAAAGAAGTCTTGAGGACATGTGTAGCTAAGAATATGTACATTCTATGTATACAGTTTGACATTTAAAGCTAATAATATGTATAGTGTTTACTCACCCCACTGCACCTTATCTGTCATTGAGGTGTAATTAATTACCAAGTAAATTGCAATGGTGTCAACCTAACTATACTAGGCGCGTATGACCGACGAAGGGTCAACGGATATTTAGTGCCCGCATAGCAGATGCGGTCCTTGGCCACCGCCCTGAAGACGGTCGATATCTAGCTTGTCACCCCACCTAACTCCAAACTGACTATGTACACCTGGTACTTATATGGCTCAAGTACTAGTTGTATGTATCGTTCTACATTACGCTTTGAATAATTTGAATACACTTTAAGTTATGACATATCAAAGTATTTGAATGTAATACATATCAAACTCATGATCGTTTTTACCACTTCCATTAGACGTAGATATTTTACAGTATATTAACTACAAAAAGAAATTAAAAAGCTTACTTCTACGAAAGCAGGAATGAAAAAGTAAAAATAAACAGTTGAATAGAACAATTACTTTTACACTCACCTCTTTTAATCCTATAACCCTAGTACCTGTTTTAGTTAACGGTTGTGATGAGTGAGGGCAGTAGATAGGTCCCTTCCCATATATTTGCTGACAGCGCCCCTGTCGGGAACCGTGACTAAATTTAATAATGTACAAGAAAACTCGAATTTGTACCTACATATCAACTATGAAAACTCTCAATAGCTGTTTGGTGGGTATGATAGACGTCAGTGCTTGCTTTTTGTACACCATGTTTGTAAAAATAAAAGTATCATACAATGACAACAGGTAAAATTAAGTGTGACCTTATTTCTAAAAGCTCTTTCAGGCAACCTGTGAATGAATCAAGAAAATTAGGAGAAACAGGGATGTATACAAATTAATAGAACTCATACTTACTTATAAATACAGAAAATATACAGATATTCTTTATTTAAATATTATAAATGACACAAAACAATATGATCAAAACTCAGTACAGTTATATTAAAAACACTTTAGCACATAACACTAGCACAAAAACGGGAACTGCTAAAGAAAAGCAATTGACTCACAAAGTACAAATAAAGTTCAATATTTCTCCACTTTTCCGTGTTCCAAAACTTGTTTAAGTATAGTGGTAGATTGATGACGCTTTGCATGTAATAGCGGCCACTTGTTGAATGAAAATCTTCGTATGTTTTCGTAAGTCTACGCCAACGTCAGCTGTTTAAAAGCGAAAAATGGCGCTGTGTTTTTGTTAACTTTTCCCGAACTTTGAAGTTCAATTTCAACGATTTGCGTTTATTGTTAGGTACTTGATCTTTTCATTGCTTTGCATGTTAAGTTTTCTTATGAGTTATTATTCATAAAGTTTTTCTGCAAGAGAAGTAAGACAGTTTCAATAAATATTACGATAATTTTTGGAAGGCTTTGTAGAATATTATTATAACGTTTTTATCTATAATAGTAACAAATTTACAACAATTTAATGTATCTCAATATAAATTAATTGATTTCTGACTATTGAAATAGAACTTTTGTCTACGACCTCCTTAAAATTGCTTACACAGAAGTAGGTACGTTTTGAATTGTAAACAACAATACTAAATATTATGGACTGTTTATTAAAATGTAGAATTGCAGAATTGAAACAACTACATACAATGCAAGTAATTAGCATTGTAATAAAACGTCCCAGTTTTTATTGAGATTTTTCTCGTACCATAGGTTTATTTATAATAAAGCATGCAGCATTTTAGCGCTCATTTACACGCACAGCATAGCGTTTACACGTACGGTTGTGTGCGTTGCTGTGTTTCACGATTCAAACATTAGAACTTGCATGCATTCTCTGTTCATGCATATTGCAAGTGACTGTTGTATTACTGTTACATTAAATTACACGAATTCCTAAACAATTATGATGCCTTGGTATTGTCTTTTAGAGCCTAGCTGGTAGATGACCAACTCAGTTACAGGAGAGATCTGTATTAAAATTTTCGTTTACATAATTGTAAAAAAGATACTAAAAATCTGTAATATTTAAAATATTAACAATAGCAAGTTCTATAACCAGACATACTCCTTTAAGCAACACTCAGCACCGGGTTATAAAGCGCGTCTGGAAAGAAAGTCTAAATAAAGGCTAAAATAATTAGGAGTACCGAAATATTCCATAAAATGGCAGTAACGATTATTCCCATGGAAGAAGGTAAATTGTATGTCCTTAAATATATCATCAACAGCCTATACTAGTCCACTGCTGGACATAGGCCTCTCCTTAGAAAGGAGGTTTTGGCCTACTACCTTAAAAATATGACAGTTTCAATACAAGTGCCCAATATCTTTACCTATCTGTTATAGAGCTCTTAACCTTATACCAGTACGGTTAATGCTAATTAATAATAAAACTCTATGTAAATGAATAGAAGACCTCGTAAGATATTTTATTTACCTACTACACTTTATAAATGAATTGAGGAAACCTGTAATTAACTATGCCACCTGGACATAGCTATGTTGAGTGCGTTGTAGGACCGAGTTAACAATTGCATTTTTAATTTATGTTTGAATAATGACAGTTATTGGCGGGAATTTTATATGACCTTTGATACGAGGCGATACTTATAATAATAATAATAACATGAACCTAACATATCTCACACACAGCCGTCTAATTCCAAGGTAGGCAGAGCCTGGTAACCAGACTGCTGATAAACATACTGATACATATAAATTATAGATAGATTACACCCAGTCACAGAACAATTGATCGCGCTTATCACACAATATTTGTACTGGGTGGGAATGGAACCCACGACCTCTGGCTTAGCAGTCAGGGTCACTAACCACTGGAACAACAGACCCGTCAACTTATTTGTTGCCAGTATTTTATTGCTTTTCCAGAAACGCTTGATACAAAAAAAAAACTATTAAACATGTCTCTAGTGAACATGTCACAAAGCCCTTTCATTAAACGAATGTCAAGAAGGAAACGAAGAACGGAAGCTACGCGATATTAGACTAAATCATTTTAACAAAGCCTATTCTGATGTGTTTGTTGTTTGTCATGGACTCCATGCAATATAGTTCTACAGAACATGAATAGTCGCGTTAGAAATAGTGATTAGCAGTTTTCTGAAGACAACTAAGGCCCACTTACGGTGATCCATCCAAATTGTTGTTAAAATATCAACTGCCCGCTCCTAGCAATGTACTACTTCTTGGGCCCACTGAATAATTAAATTCTAATCGGTATGACTGTCAAAAGGTACTAGTGGCATTGTCAAGGCATTAGAGGACCAGCAAACCCTGGGAACTTACATCCGGCTATATTTAGTGGCTTGTCCATTTGAAACACTATCGATTTGTGTCCGCGGGTTGGAGCGTTGACCCGCCCAGCACAGCCCGCTGGCTGGTTCGCTAATTTATTAATTATTTAAACTTTCGAACATATATGATATCCTGGTATGAAGGCATGTTGCATTCCAGCTTCGTTCACAACTGCCAAAAATCTGCCGATATTTTATTTGCTATTGTTTTCCGGTTTCAATATTTTATTCGTTGATACAATGTCATACAAAATAAATTCAACATACTCGTAAAAAGGTTTTTTTTATTTTCGTGTCTAATAATCTATTGATGTTACTGATATGAATGTGTAACTGTCTCTACATATTTGATATACTACGAAAACGGATTTGTTTGTTTAAAAAAAGTCATTTTTTTTTTTCCAGTGAGGCTTAAAAAGTATTTTTTTAAATGTTTTGTTTCATTTTTAAATGTTGCTTTCCTTGTTTCAGGATAACTTGACTCCGGAGCCGGTGGACATGAACGACGACGATAATTATTCTAGTGAGTATCTTATATTGGCATATATCATGTTCATTACTCATATGTATCATAATTAATTTATTAAGAAACCACTTGCATCAAATCAACTTTTAATAGCGAGTTTTTATGCACAAATTCCTCTAAGAAAGCATAAACGACTCCCAATTGGTTATTATTTAAGAGAAAAATGTTAAAAGACAAAAAATTTGAATTGATTGGCGAATGTGATCTGATGCAGGTCAGGGCCTCGCGAAAGATGCGGAGAAGTTGAAAATGATGTTGCTTGCATGGAATTACCACAGTCAGACTCAAGGTAAAGAATTTTGTTAATTTGTCAAAAGATAAATAAATAATACGATTACAAAATGTCTTTGGCTGGCCTACACTGTAAGCTTTATATAAAGATGGCTGGTTAAATTTAATAAAAGGAGTAATTTTATAGGACCTTAGCAAAAGTATACCACACAAAACTATATTGGAAGGTGCTGATACAGACCAGTGTCCGCGCTAAGCATAGTCTCCATTAATGGAACTGTAGATGACGGCATATGTACTACCTAGTCTTATGAGGGTTCACTAGATCAGATATGGCTTTACGTTCGTGTCTCCTGCACTCTTCCTAATATATAAAAAGTAACAAAAGATTTCCTTCAAATAGCGCCTTTCCATTCAAGCCTGGGCGTCTCCATCTATTTATATGTTGGAAACCTTGATGAAAGAAACCTAACACAACACCCAGTAGTTATAATCAATTTAGTTCCGAAGAAAAAGGGATTTCAACTAATAACTATATAACGTAAAAACTAATTAAATAAAACACAACTTAAAATTAATATATTGTACTAAAAAATATAGAAAATCTCATAGCAGTAGCGGTTATTTCTTAGTCGTAAAATAGTAGTAAGGTACTCGAAAATTAGAAGTCAAGGAAAGTAATTGTAGCGACGTTTATAATGATTAACTTTGTAATGATTTATACATTCAGAAAGGTCGAAGAAAAACATAGACATTATAAATCTTTTTTCGGCTTTTATTTTTGCGAACAATTTTGAATTCAGAAGTGAGTAGGTGCTTAAATCTCAAAATTTTAAATGGTAGGAATTGTACATGAACATAGGTCACTACAGTAAGAACTCCTTCTTTAAGTAATAGTGTTGTGTCGGAGTAAATGAAAGAAATGAATTGCAAAAATTAACTTATATATAAAATAATGAATTTTAGTTAAATAATCTAATATTTTAACTACCTAATGTTTTTTATCTTTGCAATTTAACCTCAAACGAAGTGGTATCAAAGTTTGATTTGTTTCATGCAGTTCATTCATAAGTTTTGTCAATAATCTTTTTCTTGCAATAAATATTTCCAGAAGCGACGAAACCAAAACTCACCTTGTGTGTAGCTCCAGTATCTTATCTTCCCCGTGACGAACTTCTAAGAAAACCACTACAAATACATTGAATGACGAGAAACAAATTTAGAATGTGTAATATGGTTTAACGAACAACTAGAAGAAATGTCTTAAGTATGTTCATAAATCGAATAGAATTAAAATCGATCTTTTTAACACTAGTCATTACTCGCCAGTTTCACATAACAATATGTATGTCGAGTACAATTACTAGGACGACATAAGCACAACACAGGCGTGATTAATCGGGGGAGATGAGTCGCGTATAGTGTGCTACCTATATCTATTAGTCTGTATTAAGGAGTACATGCGGACGCAGTACCTTATTGATTATCTTAGAACGTACTACCATTGTGCGTAACATGAAATAGAAATTTCTTTGCGGTATTAATCTTACTTGTCTCAGAATAACTCTAAAGAGAGGAAACAAAAATATCACATCAAAACTTGAACATGGCAATGTCCTTCCAAAATGTGATAAAAGAGTAACTTACTATTATATTCTGTTTCTTGCTGAAAAACCCAAAAGTAGTAAAGTGTGAGATAAAGATACTTTCAGCTATGTTACCCTAGTAGTTTTCGTAGAGTATATGACAGTTGTGTGTACGGTATTGGATACTTGGAAACATTTAGTTATCATCTTGTTATTTTAAGATAAACTGACAAGAAAATAGATCCCTTATGATAAGTAACTAGTATAGGACATATAAGATATTCAATACTTTGCAATTTGGATATTAATTACGGTGGCGCAGGGGCACATCTGCTCATGGTAAAACCTTCTGCTACACATTAACAAACTGATTTGAACTCTATGTAATACGACATAAGTATGCAATTCCATGTCCTTATCGATTTTAATGAAAATAAAGGTTTAGGTTCCGCTTAGGTTCTCTTCAAATTAGCAAATCTAACTTGTATAAACTTTGACACTCTTTCGAAGTTGTATTACCAGAATCTAAAATATATTTCTATTGTTTCCTAATATAAATATAAGTCTGTTGTAAATCTGTTATGTACTTACTGATGTACATAACATGTATTATATATATATATAATATATATATATATATATATATATATATATATATATATATATATATATATGTATGAGCTCAAAATAAATGTTTCTTTCTTTCTTGCTCATAATTTTACTTTGACCTGATGAAATTTTTAGGTCATATAAAGAAAATTTTCCGGCGTCTTATTGGGTTCATACGTTTGTAGTATTCACTTCACTGATATCAGTTTATGGTTATAGGTATATCTAAGGAATCTGTAGTTTATGCACTCGTCCATTATTAACCGTAATTGGACACAATTTCATTTTACCTACTGAGTTTTACCTAGATGGCCTGTTTTGGCACATTCTCTCGAAGTGAGACGAATACGAGTTGCAGACAACTATTTATTGCTGCAACTTCTTATCAGAATAACCATTTCGCAGAGCATAAACTTAGCATAATACCAGTTCACTACACGTCAACTTCGCGAAATGACCACTTTGCAAATTGACAATTGTAATTCGTAAATTGACGTATACACCAAAATTAATTTTGATTAATACGCTATTTTTAATTGTCAACATGTTCATATAATTTAATTTGTGGGTGAAGCAAGATACTTATAGGTTATCAATTCGAGTTCCGTCATTGGCATTTGTTGGCTAGTAGTATCAATTAGTGCTCCTGTTAATCAATGCTTCGATTAGATTGACCTATCTTTTATCCTCTATTTAAATATCTTCTAGTAGTTGTGACACAATGTAAACAAAGTCCCGCTTACGTCTACACATAATAATATCAAAATTGGTTCAACGGTGTTGATGTGAAAAAGTAACAGACAGACAGTCGATGTTTCATTTTTTTTTTTTAAAGACATCTGCCGCATTAGTAATATATTCCTGCGTCGCGGGGGACTTTATAAACAAATATGAAACGGACACACACCTAGACTCAGAACAACAATTTGTAGATCACACAAAGTATCGTTCCATGTGAGGTTTGAACCCACAACACTCGGCGTAGTAGGAAGCGGCGTGGTGACCGCTTAAACCACTGCGCCATCCGTGCAGTCTATTATATTATAGTAAATAATAATTTTAATTTTAAAATTATTATTCCTGATAAGCTAGTTAATAATGTTTCTGTACAGCTCAAAGTCACTTAAAACTTTTAAGAATATTTTTAGCACCGTTGGACGCTAAATACAAACTGCCGATTTGCCGAAGACTTTTCTTGTCATTTGAACAGTTTATCGACTGCATAATTTTCACGTCGAGTGGAACGCACCGGCTATTTTTATTACAGAAGCCATATCGAGAGTAACAGGGGCGCAGACGACGCAAGCACCTTCTCAAATTATTTATAACTAAGGGGGCTTGTTCGAGTTGACATTTAGAGGCAGATGCACCGGTCCCTTGCGCTCTGTGGGCCCTCATTAATTTCTGCCGCCTTGGTAACTAACTGTGCGAACACTAAATTATACTCTGAAATTATCTGTTTGTATGTATGAACACTGAAGATAAGTACCTACTCTTAGCAAGTTATTTACTGCAGGAAGAAGTGCTTTTTGAACTTGAAAGTTAAATATTTGTAATTGTATTTTAAATAATAATTTTCTGTGCTGTCTTCGCGACTCGTTGAAAGGTAATTAAGTATCGAAAGAAAGTAAAAAATGGTTGTTTTGCTGTCTTACTCCTCCATGGAATGTATTGCTGTTGTCTTTATTTGCTCGTTTAATTGCCTACCTATCTGAAAAAAAACTATAGCAACTCTTAAGGACAAATATCGTTTAAATTCCTTTGTATTTAACATATAGTTAAATTAAGAACCAGGCAGTTAAATACAAAGGAGGTTAATTTAATGAGTCTTTATTATATCATTTATTACATATTTTTTTCGGGATAAAATGTACATGTCATTTTTAGTTCGTGATTATTGACTCGGAGCTTCTTTAGAATTTTACTTCCTATTCCCCTCTACTATCACTATCAATATTGCTCAATGCAAAACATAGTACTTAAGTATAATTCTGCAGTCTATTAATTTTGAGACAGGTGTCTTCTCTGTTTTTATAGTTTTTCGGGTTCTATTAGAAATTTACAATATTTTTGTAGTTGGTAAAAAAATCAAGCCTTTAATTAGTACTAAGGAATCAGACATGCTCTTATATCTAAGCCATAATCATGTTATTACTAAAAACTGTAACAGTATTGTAGTCCATCAAATCCAATATTGTCAATACTGGCCCTAGCAGAACTGATGTCCAAAACACAGGTCTGTACCTAGTTTGGATGTCAGGGTTCAAAACTTTTATACCCACAAGAAAATTGTAACTTTAATGATAATGTACTTCTGCAATTCTTTCTTGCGAAATAAATGATGATTTTTATTATTATTAGACTCAATTAGTGTGCTTTATTGACAACCCCAATTTCATTTCACTCATATAAGAGATTAACAGGATCGCTCTCCGTCAGTTGAGAATCACACGGCACAGAATTTAGGAGAGCATAAATTGTAGAAGCAATGCTTGCTCGCATAGTTTTAATGAGCTGGGAAATGAGATATGGGCCTGTACTGAAATTGGTCATAAATACATGGGTTTACAACTTGACGTGTAGAGATGGAAGTGTGAGAGGAAACTCATGTTTGTTACAAATGTAAAAGTAAAGACAAATAAAAAAGAATAAAGTAAGGAAATCACACTAATATTACAAAGGCAATAAGTTTGTGAGTTTGTGTTTGTATGTTTGTTACTAATTCACGCTCAAACGGCTGGACCAATTTTGGAAAAAAAAATGGTATGAAGCAAATAGCCTTGATTAGCACATAGCCTACTTTTTATCCAGAAAAAATGTAATGTTCCCATTTGATGATTGATCTGTCTCGTAAGGATTAGCCAGTGTTTGCAATTTAAGCGCGCAAAACCATGTTTTTTAAGATAAATTACAAACAACGTTACAAACGTATTATACGTATAAACCTTCCTTCTAAGTTTAAAAGATCTTCATCATCATCAACAGCCTGTTCAGTCCACTGCTGGACATAGGCCTCTCCTTAGAAAGGAGGTTAAAAGATCTTAGCGTACAACAACTTTATTTTATCCTATGTAAAGATATATTTTGCATGATAAAAAGTTTTAGGTATAGGACAGGATAGGAGATAGAATGTAGAACCCCACTAGACAATGGTACTAAACCACAAGTCGTTTTTGACCTTATAGTAGTATAACAACTTACTTGAACATCTTAACTCTGTCTCCAGGTTGAATGATGCCTCCTTAAAAACGTCAAAATGTCCTAGCTCTTAAAATGGGGCTACAAATAACAAGGGAATGTCGTTTTTTGTGTGGTAGCGACGAAATATACAGTACTATTGAGTTATGGACCAACAATTTCTTAAAAAATAACGAAAGCGACGACTTTGGCATTTATTTAATTTACTCCAGTTTTAAGTTAAAGGTCTCGTATGTTTCTCTTGACCTCTTGTTGAATTCTACGTTCCTGGTACTTGCAGGCCGCAATGGTGATATAACAGAAACCGGTGGAGACAGCATGGCAGACCTTTGGGCGTCATATCACAGTGCGCTAGGCCTCGGCAGCAAGCCACCGAAACCGCCTACACCCCTGGCCACTGGCCACTCGGTGAGTTTTAAGGTTGTGCAGCGTTTCATGATATACTTAATACCAAAGTGTAGGTTCTTATAATGTTTTTCTACGACAGCTGTGTAAGAAGTTCTTGTTGTCTATAATAAATATGTAAGTACTATATTTGATGTGCAGCCTTTTATCGCCAGTCGTGCGGTGCAGATGACGCTTGATATTAGATATTGCTACACCGTTTAATATCGTACATATTAATATAGATGACTATAAACTCTTTCTCATATCTACGTACGTGATATATAATATAGAAGTTTGAAGACTGTACGACAGCTATGTTTTCCTGGTACATCAAGTCCTTAAAGGGTAAATGAAGAGGGAGAATCTGAACCTGTTTAGAATTTTGTAGTCTTTTTAAAGAAAAACATCTCTAACTTTTTATCTCATATCACAAGTAGAACAGTAAAGTGTCATCAATATTTATTTATTTTGTTTGTTCAGAGTCCTATCCACGTGGGTTCAGCCACACCTGGCGTAGAGCCCGCATCTACACACGACGAGACTTCATCATCTGATCGAACCAAAGACGATGACGATGGTGGAGCATCTGATGATGACTCGGATGACCGTGTGGATCCGCAGCATCATGATCCGGAGAGGCTTAAGGCATTCAACGTAAGTAACATATTCTTTGCTACTCTAATATTTTATTGCCGAAATTGATTCTTGTTCAAAGCAGTATTACGTCCACGTGTTATAATATTTTGTTGCAGATGTTTGTCCGTCTTTTCGTGGATGAGAACTTAGACAGAATAGTTCCAATCTCGAAGCAGCCAAAGGAAAAGATTCAAGCCATAATTGACTCCTGCACTCGACAGTTCCCAGAGTTTGCAGAACGTGCTCGAAAGCGAATTCGCACTTACCTGAAAAGTTGCAGACGGAATAAGAAAGTGCGGGGTGATGGACCGACTGCCGGCAACGGCGGCAGTACTCCTGGTACTGGCAATGCTTGGGATACTGCGGTGAGGGTTCGATCTCTATTTAATTTATATTGTCTTGGTACTCTCAAATCATTTGTGTAAGAAGGCGTATATGACGTATATTTTTCTAGGACTTTTCCTTTTTGTGCGTTTTTTTTTACTCCATTGTAATTAGTCGACTGTTACACAATAATTGCAGACTTTTTTTTTCCTACCATTGTACAAGTCAATTTTTTCTAACCAATACTAAAATAACCGTGAAATAACTTCTCTTTGTGTATCATAAATAAATTGAAACTTTTAAATAAATTTATTACTAAGTTACTTATATTAAAGTACTTAGTTGAATGTTTATTGCGCCTATTTAACTAGTATTATCTCTTTTAAAGGTCCGACCAACTCCAGCTCACCTGACTTCGGTGCAGGCCGAGCACATATTGGCACAGGCGTGCGAGAACGAGAGCCTCAATGCTAAACGCATGCGCCTTGGACTCGACCCGGTCAGTCAGCCCATGCCAACAGTACCAACACCCATGGTACGTTTTTTATCTCCCTATATTATTTCCATGTTTCCTGCGACTTCACTTGCCTGGTATGTCCGTAACTATTACCTTGTAGTCTTAAAATAAACAAAATAACATAACTTTTAAATCCGTGTATGTCGGCAGCAGCCACATTGTGTTGCGAATTTATTGATTTTTAGATTGGTAACCCTTAGTCTCTATCAGGGTTAAACATATATGAGACTTGCTCGGATATAGCTTGTTAAACTTAATTTTATCGTAAAGTAATGTAATATTTAGTATAATGTCAATTTATGGTGATTAAGGGAGGCTCCTGCTATAGATTAATAGTAGTTTTTTTTGCTCAAATTGGAGCCGCCTGGTTATATAGTTCCAGCTTAGTTTATATAAAGTTATTAACGGATATTTATGGGATCAATAAGCATTTATCTTTGAATTTCTTGAATTGTCGCAATCGAATCCGTGAAGTTTGTTTTTAAAAACTTATTTACCAATTATTAAAATTATATAGAGTAAAGCACTATAAACAGCCTCAAACAGCAACCAAGGGTCTAATGCAGAAGGCACTCACTGTATAGTGAGGAGGTTTGACCTAACCACCGGTGTGTCCCTGTATCTAGTATCGTTGTCCTTAAGCTTTTTAACAGAGAAATATTAAAAGTAAAATTAAATTTTAAAAAGTCGTAACACATTTAAAAAATAATCCAAAACTTTGCATCACTTTAAAATTATTTTTCTACGGTATAGGCACAGCTTCTCATTCATGATAGGTTATATTGATATTTCTTTCCAGGCTATCGATACCACAGCTACTTCAGCCGTTGCCTCATCATTTTTGGGGCTATACAGTGGAGCTATTAGTAGCCCAGCATCGACTCCAGCTACAACCACGTCCACCACATCCCTGCCCACTGCTGGACACAGCAAGGCAGCTGCCGACACTACCAGGCCCTCAGCTAGTCCGACAATGGATAATCCGATGTTAAACAATAATAATCTAAAGCTGGATAATGCTAATGGAAATGCTGGGAGTAAGACTGCTAGGTGAGTCATGTATTCTTAGTACTCAGAAGTAAACTCACTAATAATCTTTAATTCTTGAAAGCTGTCAATCAAATGTTTTGTGAAAACATTATTTTATTTATTACCATAAATAAGTCTTCTTTTTTGCTCATAGCAGTGTTCGGTTAGAAACCAAAGTACAATTTTTAATATTTTTATTGTTTCCCTTTCTTACAGCCCAGCCTCATCACCAGCGCCTCTGTTTAGACCGTCGTTCCCTAACACATTCGGGACTCCACAGACCTTTGGAAGACAAAAGTAAGAAATATTATTTTTTAAATATTGATGACTGTGTTTGATGTCTTAAAATTTAAATTGATAAAAAAATATATGCGCTTGAATATCGTACATATTAGTCGGAATTTTATAGTTTTCATGACGCTCTAGTAATGAATATCGAATATGAATGATTTCATACATGCTGCCATAAGATCTTTTAGTGTTATTCCTATTTACCAACGTTCTGTTTTCATTAATGTTATATAATAATTATTTCTAGCACTAGCGCGAATCCTGCTTCGTCAGCGCTGTCGAGCAGCGCCCTCTTGTCAACTCTGACGGCACTGCCCCCTACCGGTAAGTGATTTGACACGATGTTTGTAGTATTTAACTTTGAGTTTAATTATAAAGGAATCAGAAAATTGTATGTGCCACATAGTTGTCTAAGTCGCAAAAAAAATAAGAAGAAGAATTAATAAGCTGATAGATGTTACGAATTTTTGTGTAGGTGTAGGTGTGAACGCAGCAATGGCAGCATATCAGAGCGCTCTGTTGTCAGCGATGGCTGCTCACACTCATACTTTTCCTACCAGCCTTAGTGGTGAGTACTTGTATTTATAATTGCTAAACGGAATTCTTGTCATGTAGTTTCTAAAATAAAGCTTCTGGACTATTTACGTTACGTACGTAATTTTCTAAATGAAAAAATCTATTTGATTGTAAAAATGGTTTTTGGTTTTTATTCAGATTTTAAATTGAGTAAGGTTTTCCCAATATTTTAGAATATACTCATATCTTTGTAATTAAATTGTCTATAAGAATCATACAAGATTAAAAAGCTCTTTTATATGAACATATAATAATAATAATAACTTGAAAAATCTCAAACACAGCGAGGTCTGAACCCAAACTATGCAGATCCTGTACTGTGGTAACCAGACTTCTGACAAACATACTTGTATATTTCAAAATAAATACAAACAATCGATAAATTACACCCAGACACGGAACAAATGATCGAGCTCATCACACAATTTTTTGGCTTGGGTGGCAATCGAACCCACGATCATTGACTTAGCAATAAGGGTCACTAGCCATTAGTCTAGGCCAGTCCAATGATACCAGATTCAAACACTTATTATTAAAACTATCCTATTTCAGCTCCAACCGATTTGTCCTTGAAGAACACCACTCCTACTTCACTCCACGTGACATCGACAGCCTCTTCACTGGCAGGTTCTACTACATCTAGCCAGACAAAGCCGCTTCTCTCACATAAGTTGTCTGGAGCCGAAGTGGGTGCTGTCCGACAACTCATTACTGGCTACCGCGAGTCAGCTGCATTCCTGTTACGATCTGCCGACGAACTAGAGGCGTTACTGCTGAACCAACCCTAGGATTCGATAAAACCTCTCACCGATATTTTCGGTTTTAAATTTGGATATTTCTAAAAGATCTGTGCGTTAAAAACCTGAAGTGAGAGTGTTGTGTGATTTTGTTTTGTGTCAAAATATCGTTTAAATTTGGAGAACTAACAGACTTGTTGTTGACAATTACGTTTGACATTTATTTATTGACTTAGTGGACGACGTACATGTCACTGTGCAATGTTTTATGAAACACGAATTAAAAATTAATCAACGGCATCTCAGTTAGGCAGGCAGTTACAATAGTGACATTCTTACTTAGAGATTCCTGTGTTGGTATTTAAATGTTAATGTCAAATAATAATAGCACAGATAAAAAATTAGAATTAAAAAAAATTGCAAAATGTCAAAAGCTTAACAATTTGTGACTGAATTATGCCAATTTTATCCACATCGTGTTAATATTGTTTCAACATGTTATTATAATAGGTGTAATGTTTTTTGTCATAATAGTAACAATTTTTAAGGCGATACAACTAATTGCTACATATATATACGACAAGTTAATATTACTGTTGGTTATGTCGGGCGTTTCCTTTAGTTCCTACTACGATCTCCTACTAGTAGAAGCACGAGAACATATTATTATTATTAAAGACTTCGGTCGTTGTCATTTTTTATAGAGTGTGTGCACCATGGTGTAGGATGAAAGTTTTCTTGCTCCTACTTAAGGGTAGGAGAACGAAGAATAATATGTTCTCGTGCTCCCACCAGCAGGAGATCGTAGTAGGAGTAGGAAGAAACGCCCTTTATATCACCCCGCAATAGATTTATTGCATTTCTGAATAGATATCTCATACGTCGCTTACACATACTCCAAGTAAGTAACGATTATTTAAATTTGTTAATGGCAACATGGGTAAATACCCAAGCGGTCAATTGCAACATAGCGGCCATCTTTGATTTTGATGCAAAGTTGCCAGTAATACTAATTTGTTCAGATTACTAACCAAGTTTATTTTCTGGTCGAGGGTGTGCGCACCTGTAATGAAGGTGGACGGTAGACCAGTTTACTCATTAACAGAAAATTCAATACATTCTTTCGTAGATACGGTCAAGTACTGGATGACAGTTACTCGCTACTCTTCACATAACCTTAAAAATTATATAAGGTTAATTTAAAAATAAAATGGCATATTGTAATATGCATCTTAGTTTGATAGTTGGGATGAGGAAAAAGTTAAAAGATTATTTCGGCGATCGTACAAAACTGCCATAATTATTGTAAAAAAATCTACTTGTTGCCATTTAAAACTCGTTGAGAGAGTACAAAATTATTTTTGTGTATATTTAGAATTTAAGAGAAAAAAATCAGGGAGTCTCTAGAGGTTAGATTATTTAAAAAAAAACGATTTCTTGCCTGGTGCGTTTTATAGTATAGATTATGGATTATCTCATCGAAAATTGCTTAAAAGGTGGCTAAAATTTGGGGGCGAACTACATCTTTACTTATATTGGTTAGTTTTGGGACAATGACCTAATCGGAATTACAACGAAGACTTGAATTGTCAGTAACTAGTACATTTTTCGAACGCTTACTACTTGAAGTGAGTGGTACTTTTACAAAAGGTACTTTTCGTTGGACTATTTTTGTGTATTACGTCATTGTTTCAAAGCAAGCCCAGAGTTTAATATATAGGTTTAAAGTGGCATTCTAGTAATAAGAGGCACGAATTTATTTGTTGTTTTGTAAAATAGCGCTCTAGCTGTACAATGAGTAATATATTTATGGTTTAAAACTTCATTATTAAAAAAAATAACTTTATATCGTGATCGGTCCATCCAAAATCTTTCTGCTATTAGGTACTTATTCTTTATTGGGTTTAATTTTATTGGAGTTTACTCCTTAAAAATCGATTTCCATGTAAGGCGCCCGGTATGAAAGAAATATGAAGATTAAAATTTAGTGATCGAATGACCTCGTTATGTTTTTTGTGCGCGCCTTTCACATGTGTGTGTATAAATTGAATACTAGTGTGCAGCCGAATCGTTCTTAACGAGTTAACTCCAGTCGTGCGTCGGAGCTGACACATACACTTTTTTTTATTAGCTCGCTTTGCTCAGTACTACTTTGTCGATATTCGACTATGTCTATTCGTTACCATAGATTTATGGCCAAGTACTGTAGATAAGGTGTAATATAAGTTACTTGCTTATGGTGTACAAAATAGGATTCTACTTCAAACTAGTTTGGAAATTATTGTTCATTTGTATTTTAGGCCTAATTTCATTGTGCAAAGAGTGCATTTGGGTATACCTCGTAATGTTATCTCTGATATGATATATATTTTAGATTTACAGTTTGGCCAGTTTTAGTCGGTTGTTTTTTGTAATCTACATATTTAGTAATTTCATTGATAAGGCTAAAACAATACAAATACAATAGAATAATTAAAGTCGTTTGACTTGTAATGCTTATTATGTTGCCAGTGATTTTATAATAATCTCAAATAATTACACCATTGTGGAACAGATTTGTTGTATTATTGAATCAACGAATATGATTTAGAATAAAATAGTATGTATTCGTTCTTTATTAATCAGTAATTTGCTTATGCTACAATAGTGTAATTTATTTGAATTTTTCAAATAAATGTATAATAGTTTCTCAACTTTGCCAGTTTTTCTCAATAGTATTAAAAGCTTAAAGCCAGTTTTAAATAAAATTGTAAATTCACTTTTGAATATTAAAATTGCCAAAGAAACGAATTGATTTTCTTGTAATTGATTATGTATGTATGTGCATGGAATTACATTATTAATTATTATAGTTTTTTTAGTTAAGTATAATTTAAGGTTAGGTTTTGTTTTCAAAAAAGTCATTCCAATATTTTTCTAAAATGGTTACTATCGGTGCGAAGGACACGCAGTAGTCGATGTATATGGAAAATATCTAATGTAAAAAGTATGTTTAGAAATATAAAAAGTTGATTAGAATACGAGAAAGTTGATGTTGGGATAACGATTTAAACGAAAATGGTGGTAAAACGTTGAGATAATGAATTTGTTAGACATTAAAATATATTATTATTAGAGATGTATAAATGGTTTACAATTATTATTATTAGTTCGAGAGAAATACAAAATGGTAAAAAAAAAACTACAAATGGCGATTGTTACTATTAACGATATGAGAATTTAGTTATAATTTTGCAATTTCAAAATGTGAGTTTTACAATTTTGAAAAAGAAAATATTAAATATGCTCATATACTAAAGATATTGTTTTATTTTTTTAACTCTTTCTTGTTATTATGAAGCCGTTATTGCATTCAACAATACAACTAATTGAAAATGTCTCTATTAGTAAAGAGTGGACACCTAAATATTGTGTTTAATATAATTATGCGCGATGTTATGAATAATTTCGTCTATTTTGAATACTTGATTCTAAAGGTACTTGATTCTATCAAAGACTACATTTTTTGATGCAAAGGTAGTAGAGCTCCTTTTGAAGGGGAAAAGAGTTATCCCTTTTTCCTATTTCTTTTTCTTCTTACTTTGTATTATTGATCACTTTTTATTATTAAATAAAAACAACAATATTGATGCATCCAAAAATCTTATTATATTATATATTATCTTATACCGAAGCCTTTGCACCATATAACATTCTAAACGCGGGGTGGACGGGTAGTGGCATGCCTCAATAGGTTAGGGTGGAAAGTTCTATCCAGGAACTGGTACAAGCGCTTGTCGGACATCATTTGGCGAGTAGCTAGAGTTATAAAGTCCATGTTTGAATGAGAAGCCGTATAAGAAAACACTGAAGGAAAACGCTCAGTGCCGCACCTGAAACATGGAATATCGTATCAAAATTAGAAGAGTTAATTCTCTTTACTAGGGAATGACTTTAAACACTAAAACAACGCGATATAATAGTAGTAGACGTTGTATTTCTGCTGATTACCAGGAACACAGATATTTCAAGGAGATATACGAAACGCTAGTGAGCTCACTCTTCTACTGCTCGTGAAGCGACACCTGGGGGCGTCGTGAGGTGTCGCATCCACTTCCTTCATCCACACATTCGTATTGTTCTCACGAAGTAGAAGTATCAAAATGTTACAAATAATTCGGTATCCATGATTTGACACCTTTTGAGTATTTAAAGCTTTAGTTCAATGCAAGGACCAGATACGCTGCTGTTTAAATTACAAAAAGATAACGTAGAAAATACAGGATTTAAAAGCAAGAAATAGAATTAAATTTTATTAACTACAATAAAAATAGAAAGCGTTTTTTATTAATATTAAATTACCTCAAATTTCGATTTTAAACGGGTGAGCATGCAAATTTGTAACCGTAAGTTTATGTTTAAACAATACGCCGTAACGCTGGATCGTTCTATACTTACAGTTTTCTGATACTCCATGAAGCGAGTCCCCATAGTACACCATCACTGACTGCTGGTGCCCCAGTGTCACGCTGTGAAAACAAATATTTCACCTTAGTTTCTCTGTCTAAATTATTTCAGTCATTGGCTAAACAAAAGACCTTTGCTTGTGCATTAAAAAAAAAGTAAACGAAGCATAGACAACATTTTTTGAGACGTAGGTATTACATTTGATTACAGTAAAGGGTTATTTGAGTACAGTAAAGGGGTAAGATTACAGTACAGATACTTTACTTTGGGCAAATAGAACCTAAAAAATTAAAACTTACCTAAAATACTAATATTTCAAAAGAAAATTGATTGTAAATATTAGCTATTAGGATTTACATGGTGCTAGCGGAAAGTTCGGGATTACATAACAAAAAAAACAATTTCATCTCATACCTACTTACATTTATAAAATCGTTAATAAAAAATGTTAAAGGAAAGAAGTAAGATACTGTTTTTTATAAACCTCTTATTTTAGTTTAGGTAATTCAAAACTATTTTTATAAATCTAAAATCAGACTACTGTTTTTTCTATGTAACATTTTTAATAAAGTTAATGCCCAAATTAGAAAATTACTGGGATACTAACAGTGCAAGGAGATGTCTTGCCGGTCTGAGAGAAACATATGAAGTTTTCAGTTACAGCAACGCCGAACCGTGTGGTGATGTTGTTGCAGCTCTCATTGCTCATCAAGTTGGAGTGGTACACTTGTAATGTTGTTTCATGTTCTTCAAATATGCCGTCGCGCTGTTACATAGTATGTAATAAAGTAAAGTATTGAATATTAGTGTCCGTGTGGTGACGGGTTAAGAATACGGAGTGTCATCATCCCTTGGGTGTTGTTTGAGTCGACTAAGGGAGTAAATTTCGCAGGGTAACAGCACTGCAAAGAGAAGGAAAACTTGACAAAAACCCTATACCAACCCGTCTGGCCAGCGTGGAATAGTAGGCTATAGGTTGTAAGGAGCAACCTTTGTCTAACAGTGGACTATTAAAGGCTGTTAATGAATAAATGATGATTGAATATTAAATATCATACATTTAACCAGATTTCGCGATGATCTCTTCGACCATATTTTAGTACGCAGTTGTAAGTTGAAATTGGGATTGCTTTTTGACTGACTGTTACTAATTTACTATTTTATGGTATAGTCGGCAAACGAACAGACAGATTACCTGATGGTAAGTGACAACCGCCACCCATGGACACCTATAACTCAAGTGACACGAGTGCGTTGTCGGTAAACTCACTCGGTGAAAAGTAAAAGAAGAAGAAGAAGAAGTGGCCTTTTTGTGGCAATGATATCACTCCTGCCTGCTCATTCATGTCGAAGCAACCCCCCTACGAGTAAACCGGAAGCACTTACTCTCTCGGATCCGAAACTTGTAATCCAAGCGTCGTCGAAGGCGGGTAACATCACACGATTAGGTAGATCCACGGCGTGAACACTGTGTGAGAATCTGGAAAGTACAGTGTTAAGTAAAATATTGACAATGAACAATTTTTGTTTTATAGAATAGGGGGAACGAGTCTACGGTTGGTCTATTTTTATTGTAAAAAGTTTTGATTCATATAAATTATTCTCTCATCAAAATCCTTGTTAAATATAAATAACCCACGATTAACGGCAACAATTTATGAGTCTTGCAAGCTTAAAAGCAACTCCACAAGAACAAGTGTGTCGACGCACTTTCGCCGACCCCCTACCCTCACCACTTAAAGGGGAAAGGGGCATTACGAATGTCGATAGGGTTGAAAATGTCAAGCTTTTCTGTCCTGGGTGTTTATATGTAAAGCACACGAGTATTATTATGTGTTATAAAAAAGTATTTAAGTTTTTCCATGTACTGATATCTACAGAAAAACTATGTTTTTTTTAGTCTAAATAGCATATTTAAAAATCTACCTATGTAACCAAAAATCCTTACTTGATGTTCCTGTCCAGTAGTAGGAGTGCCACATCATTATCAGGGGTATGTCTCAAACTCCATTTTGGGTGCTTCTTCACCTCTTGTATGTTTGCCAACTGCCCACCTTGGTCCGCAGATGATGATCCACAGCGGACCTCCATGCGACTTATGCGATCCGCCCTGTGACACACATAATTTTCATCGTATAATATAGTCTTCAAATTATAAAGCCTAGCTATTGTCGTAGGTTGGAACTTAAAATATTTTTTTAAATTTTCTTTCCTTCGAAATCAGAACGAATTAAACAACTTTCTGTAAACCGTAGGGTTCATGGAAATTTGTAAGTCTTTCAATCTGAGTGGAAAATCTCATCGAGACATATATATATACAAACTCATACCTATATCCTCGAAGGGGACTAGCAAGGCGTATTAAACGCTCACATATTGATGACTATAATTTTAAATCCATATATGTAATACCAGCTTCTGCCCGCGTGTATATCAGTTATCGTGGTAAAAAGTAGCCAATGTCCTTTCTCGAGAATCCAATTTCTATTTCTATACTAAATTTCATCTAAATCAGTTCAGCGGTAATTGTTTCCTTATACGAACTTCCAATCCCCTTTTGATCCCCTTAAAGGATTATTTCTGGGATAAAAACTATCCTATGTCTTTTCCCGGGACTCGAACTATCTCTATACCACATTTCATCGAAATAGGTTCAGCGGTTTAAGCGCGAGAGGTAATAGACAGACACACTTTCGCATTTATAATATTAGTATACATAGCATTTATAATATTATTATCAATCGGGTACTAGGAATTGAATGGAAATTCAATACGAAAGTAAAAGTTTATAAGATTCGAAAGGAGTGTAATCAGATGATAAGTACTTAACGCTAAATGCTCGTCGAACATGAGGCAGTTACTTCTATTATAGACCATCTAATCTAAGAGGTACCGTTTGACAGTCGTGACAGATCGAAGTTTAGTGATGGGGTCAATGAAATCGATTATTACAATATTCAATTCTGAAAAGATATCAATATCATTTCTTAGTATGCATGTATGTTACTATAAAAGCCCGTGTAATAGCATATCATAGGTTTTACTAGTAAATCTTAGTATACTTGGACACGAGCGATTTTGCCTACAAATATTTGTTTAAAATTACATTAACTTACATAATTTTAATTCTAATTATGCTTTTTCGTTGACAGTTGGATGTCAGATGAATTTTAAGTATTATTAAACACTTTAGGACCCCTGATTGATTTTTGTACATTATAACGATTATTCGTAATCAAGTGAATTTGAAGTGCCTCAACACTACGGTGAAGGACCTGACAACGTGACTTTGAACAAAAACAGCTATTGAGAATAAATTGGTTATTTTGCTTTGTTTCAAAGATTTCAGTTTAAATTAAGTCATTAAGAATTGTACACTATACAGTAAAATAAAAAATGCTTCATAATTCCATGGTTTTACGGAAAAGGTTATTGAAATTGTGTGAGTTGTGCCTATACAAAGTTGTTTCATCTTGAAAAGTATGAAACGTCAAACGATACCGCTTAGATTAGATGGACTATAATTGGTTTCAATGATATACATCGTAATTTCATCATACATAAAACCCGGGTGAGATGAAAGGTAATAAATTGAGCTTTAGCACTTCGACATTGCATTGTTATCAAATCACGATTACAACAATCCTTGAATCATCATTCCGAACTAAGGTTGGTCTGTAAGCTCAAACAGTTTCCTGAATTCCGTTTATAATATAGTTTCGGACATTTGGTTCATGCACTCGGCCGAGCGGCCGGTGGTGCGAAGCTACCATCCGCGGGATTATGCCTGAACGCCTCTAAGGCCGAAGCCAGCCTAGCCGAATCCGGCAAGGATATGCTCACTGTGGAGCCCCGAGAGTCGAGAGGCTCTAAACAATGTGACTTTACTAGTCGCGCTTCACCACGTGAGGTGCGACGTCGAAGCCAATTTGGATCGCGGAGATCGATGCTGTCCGTTTAACGCGTGCATCACGGCTCCGAAGGTCCGAATCTACCTCAGTTCGATGTCGGGGCTCGGAATAGTCTGTAGACGACTTCCGTTCCTGGCGGGGTGTTGTGCTCGGTAGAGCAGCGTCGTGCTGCGATCTGTTGAGACTCAGCCCTACGCCAGGTGATTCGTACAATCTACTGTAAGGTCTAGTCATAACGTGGCAGTACGAGTAGTTCGTTTTTTTTAAAGTGGCTTTCGATTTTTCCGCGAGCATGGCAAGATTAAAATTGGAAGTAAACAATTTATTTTTTGCATTAAGACCCTTACAGCTATTATTTTCAATGGTACTATTGTGCCTGTTCGCCAATCTTTGATTACAACTCGATTGTACAATGAATTGGTGTGATCAAGTTTCAAATTAGTGTCGGAGGGTTACTGAAAGTCTTGGAGCATTCTTGTACGAGAAATTTTCTAGTCGCAAAAACCAAGACTATGCTTGTGCAAACACTATCTTCCTCTTAATCGACTATGGTGACGTGTGCTGTTATGGCCTGAAACTTAGACCGTCTTCTTAATGAATACATTCGAGACATCTTTAATCTTCATAAACATGTAACATTATTTATCCTTTTTCGGTTTGCAGCTCAATTGGTAACCTATTTGCCGGTGTCGAAAATTACGTTCTCTCACTGTCTTATTCATTATCCTAAATAATCTATCTTTGTCAACGTATCTGGCTTCTTACTTCCAACTAGTATGTGGTAATCACGACAGAAACCTTCAGTTCGCCAATAACCTTCTTCTTAGTTGTCCCAAAAGTCTGAGGTTGTTGGCTCATCCTTTTTCCTCCGTTCCTCATTGTTTGTCCATTCTTCTTTTGTATGTTCTTTCCCTCGAAATTAGGATGGCTACCAATACTACATTTAAAGTACAAGTAAAGACGTCTTTTGTCAAACACAACAACTGGCATGATCAACCTTGTCATGATTTTTCATCTTTTAATGTTTTCATTAGTTTCATTTGAGTTTGTTTGTTTGTAAACCACTGAACCGATTTCAAAAATTCTTTCAATAATGGAACGCTATATTATTAGCGAGTAACATAAGCCATATTTTTACCGCGATAACCGCCATACACATTATACCTATTCTATTGTTATTAGTATCACGAGTATGAGTATCAATACGTTAATGTGTGTTTAGGTATATGTACCTATATATTTACGAATGTGTATAGTAAGTTGGACGGGCCTGTTGGCCTAACGATCCTAGGTGCTAAGCCAAAGGTCATGGCTTCGATTTCTACGCAAGACAAATAATATACATAATTTGTTTTGTATGGGTATAATATATCCATAATCTGTACGTATTTAGTAGTACGTAAGTTAGTTTATTACCACTGGTTACCATAGTACAGGCTCAGCCTAGTTTGGGATTAGAGTGCCGTGTGCCTGAGGTTATTATTATAAAATGTAGATGTGTATTTGATATTATATTATAAATTATTCATTGATAACATTTGGTTTATATAATTTAAAACAAATTTTAACCAAAATGTACCTACCTCCTGTTTTCACTGCGTCGCCCGATGGTTGACTGGTAGAGAATGCCTTAGGTATTAAGTCCGCCTATGTGTCAAATGTGCATTTAGTGTAAATAAATAAACAAAAAAGAATTCAAAGGTATAGGTCGAGTGGTCACAGATTCTGACTGCTACGTTAGAGGGGTTCTAATCCTACCCAAGGTGAATAATTGTGTGATGAGCACGATCATTTGTTCTGTATGTGTAGTTTAACTATTATACTCGTATCTATGTAATTATACATATATTTGCATATTTATTATCAGTGGCTCTACTTAATTTGGAATCAGACGACTGTGTAAGATGTGGTACATGTTATTAATATTTCGTGGCAGTCATACAGGGCGACAGAACGGGTATATCAGTTAATTGTAAGTGTTATGAGCTTCTGCGTCTTGTCAATATATTTTATATGAAATGTTAATTTTTAATGAGATACAGTCTTACACATCTCTTTATGCTAGTCAGAGGATTGCTGTTGATGAAATACAACTTTACAGCTCGCTATATGCTGGTCAGAGAATTGACATCTTATTCTTTTTTAATCTTTGTCTTGTTTGTGCACAAATTCTGACCTGTCTACCTATTTTAGTTTTATAAGACTTCAGGAAGTATGTTAGAGGTAGTAGTAGTGAATGTGAGGCACAATCGACGTACAGTTTTCAAATATTAATTTAGTCCAAAGTAAAAAGTTACTCAAATAAAAAATATTGTGTTTTATTAGTCTGCTAAATACACTACTCTACTACTTTTACTACTACTACTACTTTTAATACTCACAACATCACATCACATCACCAGTCACTAATAGTCCACTGCTGGACATAGGCCTCTACTTAGAAAGGAAGTTTTGGCCTACTATACCACGCTGGCCAGACGAGTTGGTATAGGGTTTGCGTCAAGTTTATTTTGTCTCTTTGCAGTGCTGTTGTCCCGCGTAGTTTTCTCCCTTAGTCGGCTCTTACGACACCCACGGGATGAATAGGAGTGGGGCACTCCGTATTCTTGATTCGTCACTACACGAATTATTATACACTTGTAATATCTACCTTGATTAAAACGTTAAAGTGTTTTATTCTAATTCCTTACCATGTTTCTCTTAGCATCAACATGGTTATGTAAACAATGCCTTAGATTTTGTCTAAGTTTGAAATAAATTCTTTTGCTACTGATACGCCTGTGTTCAGAGGGCCAAGTGTGAGTTTAATTCATTTCTACTCGATCGTCTAGCGAGTGCGTTCGGCGCTACGATTGGCCTGCGCTGAAATCTCCACCAATCGCAAAGCTCAAAGCGCTCGCCGTCGAGCGAGTCGATGTGAAATAAACTTGCACTCAGCCCTCAGATCAACGTTCTGCGGGTTAGTTCCTGGTCACAGTTGAAGGAACTCCAGGCCCAAGCGCTGCCAAAACTTTGCTGGGTTTCTACTGCGTTTGAAATATATCATTTACTATTTAAATATATTTTACAGTTCTGACAAAATAATTACTTAAAGAACAATGGCAGAAACATATTTACCTAAAACTTAAGCGTTTAAAAAATCGAGTCACAGTAAACTTAATCAATTTTTTTTCTATGATTTATCATTACACCACCATGTGTTGTATAAGTCTTATAAGAGATAAGATATTTTTGAAGATTTTATTTGACCTAAGTACGTAATGTCAGATTCGCCATCACGTATAACTGACTAGGGATGCGTGGTGGCAATATTATATTATGGAACAATTTATCGATAATCGATTCTTATAGCTTTGGCTGAAATATTTACCGAAGGTTTACTATTATGATTATGAATTTGCTTCTGCCCACGTCTTCACTCGTACGGTAGAGTGACTGAATCAACATAATTAGAAATGACTTAAAATATTTTTTACTCTCTTTAAACGATTTTAAACACACTAAAGAAATAGAATATAGTTACGTTATTTTCCACTACACAGTGTAATGAGAAAAATACATTGTCATTGATAACGGCACATAAATAGACATACATCGATATTTTCAAAATGTCGATACGTCGTCGTTTAGTACATATCTCTTAATCTGTGGTTTAGATCCTGTCAAGTTCCGGACTCACCACGTTTGTTATTTTATTTTTGTTTAATTTAGTGTTAAACTCGAATAGATGTTATGCTTTTTTTTTTATTTCATATACTGTAATAATAATGAAAATAATATTTTCACTATCTGACACACAACGCCATCTAGTTTCAAACAAAACATTAACAATATGTTAGTACTTAACCTCGAAACATTCAAAATCCAATATCTTTTTTCCTAGACTTCTTTCGCAAGTAATTTTGATATGAGAATGGTCAAGAATAAATTCTCAAGTGTTAAGGATTTTTTGATATTTAAACGCTACCATTTCAGTTCAAATAAAATTATGTATGGGGACCTGCCATTGTCCTTTTGTCGTTCAGCATTGAATATCCACAGATGTTTCTTCGCTAATTTCTCCAGAGAAATGTTTATGCTATAGGCAACAAAAGCGTCCCTATTTCTTTTTCTAATGTTCTGCAGTTATACTCACTTCCAAAGACAGTTTGCTGTTGTGATGACTATTCTTGGGTTCAAAAGGGCGCCAGAACACCAGTGCACGCCATCCTTCTGGATCGAGACCGTGTAAGGGTAATCTTCAATCAACGCCTCTCTGGCGCCTGTAAGTCTTCTCGTCTCTAGGACAATGGGAAAGGAGTCAAATAAAAAAATATTAATTCAAAATTTTATTAAAACTTTCTTATTATTACCTTTTAGCATGTTAATGTCTGTGGAGTTGCCTGCCGTATCCACTCGTGGGTTTTTCTTCAAAGCCTTTTTTGACTTTTTCGAAGATTTCGGATGCCTCAATGAATGGGATTTTTTGGATTTCTTTTGTTTGGATTTAGACTTCGATCTTAGTCGTTTTCCACTTTTCACATCCAGAGCTGTACCGTTTGCCACTTTTGATTTCTCTCGCAATTTATTTTTTGATCTGGTCCCATTGCGTGTCTTCGATTTCCCAGAACGTTTAACTCCAGAATCTTTTCGTTTTCTTTGAGCTTTGTTTTTCTTCCCTTTACGTAAACTTGGGGCGTTCTTTTTTATTGGTATTATATTATTTGTAACTTTAGACACCGCAGTTGTCTGATTTCTTAACTCTTCATTTTTAACAGTAGTAACATCGTTTTTTTTAGAGTCTTTAGGCGTAGAGTCATCTTGGGCTCTCTTTACTATAGTCTGATTTTCTTCCGGCCTTTCAGTTTTTTCTTGAACTGCCTGCTTCTCTGCTGGCTTAATTGTCGTCGATTCTTTAATAGTTTCGTTTTTAGACTCTGTGGTAACTGTTGTTATCTCTTCAGGAACAGACCTTTTGATTCGACCTAGTGAAGACCAAACATAGTCCGGTAGAACTTTTTTTACTCTTGGCTTTTGTTCAATGACTTGGTCCACTGAAAAGTAAGGGCTATCAGGCACACCTCGGATAGCTTTCGAATTGCCGATTACTTGGAAAACGGTGTATCGGGGGCCGTTTATACTTTCGTCTACTGATTTCTTATACTTGTATAATTTGATAGCAGCCCCTTCAGGCGAGTGCGGCTTAAACATATATTTAGGAGAATTTATGAGAATCTTTCCAGCTCCAAAAGGCTTAACTTTTTTTGGGTAACTCTTGACTGCATACTTTTCGCGGCTGGTGACGTAGTTTATATAAAAAATGGCTATTACAAGCAGCACCTTCATTGCAATCGATGTCAACGCGAAGTAAATGTTTAGATTTCAATTATACGGTATTATTTTATGATTTTGAGATGGATTTATTTTATTGTGCGATAAGATTTATAGTTTATAACTTTATCAAATGTTAAGCTTTGAATGATTGATTTTTCTCGAGAAATAGAAATTATGTCGCTACACCATTGCTTTAGCTACTTTAGTTAGTCGACTGATGTGTAGATTTTGTACGAAACAATGAGGAATTGTTTTCCGTGAATCTTATTGAATTAAAACAATGAAGTGTATAGTAAAACATTTTATTTTAAACTCGTATCTACAATCGTCAATGTTTAAAAACTTTTACAGTTTGTAGACAAATCTATAATGTTTAATGTCTAGTCTTTAGGTGCAATTTTTTTGTATGTGGCTAGCTGAACAGCTAATTGATGCAGTATAGATTTGCCTGCTGGACCCTCATCTGGAGGCAAAGCTTTTGACAGTCGGACTACTCGTCCACATTCACGGACAAAGTATTCTAGTTCGTTTTCTATCTGACGGCCATCTCCTAAAAGCAACAAAAAACAATAAGACATTGAAAATTTATCCTTCTATCCTTTTAAAATACTACTCTCGCATTAGGAATATATCCTGTGTCTCGGGGGACTTTACAAACATATGAAATAAACTCGTACAAGGGCTTCTGTACGTCGCTAAAGAAAAGGTTGTTGAGGGACAGGTACAACATCCTATCTCCTGATATCTCTTTATTCCCTCGTGCTCTTCTCGTTACCCAACCTAGGTATGTAATATCAGGATATCTAGTACTGACTGACTTTCTCGTTGGTCTAGTGGTTAGTGGTCCTGACTGCTAAACCATAAGTCGTGGGTTCGAAGTCTAATCAAGCCAACATTTATCGATAATGTATATTTATTTTATTATTTAAAAATATATCTATATTATAGCAGTCTGGTAAACATAGTTCAAGCTCTGCTTAGTTTGAGATAAGACGTTAGAAGTTATAGTTATCTTGATCCATCTATTTATTAGAAAGTTATTTTTAATTCAAATTTGATATTAACAACTTCTAAAAAATAAATAATCACATATCAATGCTATTAATAAATAATGTCGGTGCTTGCGGCAAAAATAAAGTTTTAAAACCGAAACGACACATTTTAGAAGACTATTGGTTATTATAATCTCCTTCCCAAGGAGAGGCCTATGCCCAGCTGTGGACTGGTAGAGGCTGTTGATGATAATTTGTTGTTACATCAGACCGGTAAAGACCGACTGGAGGGCTCGGCCTTGTAGGCAAAGTCAGTTCAAGTTACCAATCCATCCGTATAAGCACTCGTATTATAGTCCTATGAAAAAACTATATCACTCGGATTACAACCACCTGTGGCGACTTCCACATAAGGCAAAACTAAGAAATGTATTACAGAGCCATCGTAAGAAGACACACTGAACTACGGAGTAACTGCTAATCCTATATCGCGATATGAACAATTCTCTTGCCAATTAGCATAAATACAACTTCCCAACATCGAACATTGGGCCGCGGCCTGCCAGGCATGATCACCTCGCCTGTTCGGAGGATCCTCACTTTGTGTTGGAGGATCATGACACCCGTGACTCCACACATGGAACAGAAAGTCGGACTTACTATTTACGGCCTGATTAATATTAGCGTTTATTACAGTAAAGTATTTCAGCGTTCTGCTCGAAGAGCGACTGGTTTATTACCTCATTTTTTAGTTGAGATCAAAAACTCTTAATAGTAGCTTTAGGTAAAGTACAAACAGACATTAAGTAGGGAACAGTAATTTGGCTGCATACCAAATGACGAATATTCGGCAACACATATATAAGACGTGTATATAAGACGAAAGATTTAATACAAAATTGAAACTAGACAGTTTCAATTTTGTGTGAGAGCATAACGCTATAATCTATTTAATTTATTTTCACACTTACCTTGTCCTAACCTAGATGCAGTAGGCTGCAGACACTTATTGGTAAGCCTCGCAAGTTGAGACTTCTCGGAGCTAAATGCTTCGTCCAGATCAAAGAGTTCCAACGGTGGAGGAGGGGGTTCTCTGAATGTAGGTGGAAATACCTGTACAAAAGCAAAAATTGAAGTTTGAAGTTTTAAAACAGACAGAGATTTTTCAACAAAGTATCACTTATTACTGTAATCACCTTTATATGGTTCACTGATGTTTGACAAAAAAAGGAAAGACAAATGATAATTTTTAAATAACATTATTAAAACTAATCAAACATTTTACTTTATAAGTAATCGTTTACAGATAAAATACAGATTTCGCAAATGTTTTACTCTGCAAATATTTCAAATGTTAAAATTGTGATGATTCGGAATTCGGTTCTGGCACTAGTCGGCCGCTGCCGCGACTAGATCGCTTCGCTCGCTCAGCTCATGCGTTGTGGTCGCAGTTCTCGTAGTTTCGTCTAGATATATACTTAATACATTTCGATACAAATGTAATATAATGTAGGTTAGGAATTTTTTTGTTAAAACAAGCTAATGTCTGAAACTATCAGTCAGTTTGAAACTAAATGGCGTTGTGTGTCAGATGTCTGAAAAAACAAATTATGTCCGAAATGTATTTGGATAACTCTTTTTGTATCGAATAAGTTATTGTTTAAAGATCAATCAAGCAGTAGGAATGATGCGTGACATCAAGACTCGGGCGCATTTGGCTACATTTTTTATCCCGTGAGAGAACCACTCGTAAATAAATACTCGCCGTGGTATACCTACTGTTAAGGCGACTACCTAAACCCTTTTTTTTACGTGTGGAAACCCCCTCGGACCGACACCCCACTGGGGTTTGCGGCGGGGTGGTGTTGGTATCGGACCGACTAATACCACACGGTGTGCCACTCTTTATATTTCGGCTACGTACGGCACATGCGGACGTCGCCTCCTCGTGGCTGGCCTCAAGAGCGGATTTAGGGGAAACCCGTCCAAGTCCACCCGCGGCCACACTCAGCCTACGTCGCCCGGTTCGCCAGCAACGAATTCGATCCGAGTAGAGGTTGTCTTTCCGGGCCCTCTCCGCAGCCTCTTCTGCGAGATGACGTCTTCGCAGAAGGATGCGCCTGCGGTACCTCTTCGGGCCGACTGCCACTACCCGCCCGGAACTCGGTCGTCCGCCGATATACTTCGGCGAGCACTTCCGCTTCCAAATCCCACGGGGGGAGTTCCGGCCATCGCCGAAGCCACCTCCGTCGAAACTGTGCAGTAGCCGCGTATGGCGCTAAACGTCAGTATCCTCTAAGGGCGCCAGAGGAGCGCCCTGTTTTGGGCGGTCTGAGCCGCCGCCCACACCCGCATACCGTGAAGTGCCATTGACCGGACAACCCCCGTGTACAGCCAACTTGTCGCGACGCTGAGCCTAAGCTTTGGAGCAAACTTACGGTTTACACAAACCCTAGGACAACAGACTGCAAAGAGAAGGAAAACTTGACACAACCTATACTCCTACCTAGACTCCCCTGGCCAGCCGTTGTTTCCTCATGGACCAACTATGTATGCACAACTAGTTGTGTCATGAGGAATATTTTTATTAAATCATTCCTATTGGCACAAGTAAATAATTTTCAATTAATATTTGTTCCTAGATACACAACTGATTACAATCAGTGTACAAAGGTTCATTGTTATGGTTATAAGTTCTTCGTCTTCTGGCGTAGCATGTCTATGTAGACATGCTTACAGTCAGGATATACGCCAGCGTATGCACGAAAATAATATATCAATATTTCTTTTAAATTACTGATAATAAATGACATGAAATGGCATTTATAATTTTCTATTTGTTAATATACAAAGATATGACAGAAGTGGCCAACTAATCATCAATATCTGAGGAGGTAGTAATAATCTTATTTATTTCCTCCTGTAGTTGTGCTAAAAGGTATGGTTATAGTAAATCAGTTGTGCTCAGTTGTGCATAGTTGTGTCATTAAGATCATACTCTGGGATGGCACAACTAGTTGTGCGTACATAGTTGGTCCATGAGGAAAACGGGTGGCCAGCATGGCCAAAACCACCTTTCTAAGGAGAGGCCTATGTCCAGCAGTTGACTATTAATGGCTGTTGATGTGCTAAAACAATTATATTTATCTTTACAGTCAGTCAATACAATATGACAATGCCTGCGCATACTGTGTTATATATGTATATAAATATTAATTCCGAATCGCTCGCGGAAAGCTTTAGACACATAATTCAATAAAGAACAATTAGTATAATAAAACAATCATTATTAATTTTAAGAGAATTTTTAAACCATATCCTATTTAATTACTACAATAACATAGTAAATATTGGAAATGATTTTTAATCTCTAAAATGGATAATCACTATTCTGCCATCCTTATGGATGGGATTTTCAATGTTTTATAAATGTAAACAAACTTAAACAATTACAAGGAACTATTATCCTTAACACATCAGCGCACGAAATGTTATTTTTTGTTATAAAAACAAATGAAGAATATATGACGTATGTAAGTAGCACAATAGAATAGATAATTTTCAAACATTCTTGTCTGTCTATTAAATAAAACAATTATTAAGTGAAACACCTCGATTTCTTTCACTGAAGCTATTGTAAGACACAGTAATGTAGATAAGCTGTATGATGCGAGTTACGAAATATTGGACAAGTATGTGGTTATTCAACAACCGTGGAAGAGCCATAGGGCAAGGCCGAGGCCTTGCCTCACACCAACCACCACTGCACTGCACCTGCGCGAGCAGAAAACTTGTGTCCAGTAATGCTTTGATTACTTTCACCGACTGAGTGAGAATACCGAAGACCTAACCAATCCCAACCCCCTGGTACTGAGTGGCAGTTAACACTTACCATTAGGTGAAACAAATGCTTCGTTGCCCCCTACACTATACAAGCTTTGCTTTTGCCCGCGGCTCCGCCCGCGTGTATGTCGGTTATCGCGGTAAAAGTGCTATGTTACTCGCTGATAATGTAGCTTTACATTGGTGAAAGAATTTCTAAAATCGGTTGAGTGGTTAAGGCGTGAAAGCGTAACAAACAGATAAACGGATTTTCACGTTTAAAATATATTATGGAAGTTTTGGATAAAAAAAATCTTAAGCTGTAGGCTCTCTAATAATAGCGGCAATCTTATGAGTATTATAGATACTTACTGCTAATTGTAGAGGCGGGAACGGAGTCTCAAACTGCGGCGCAATGAGCCGCAATGGTTCATGTTTAATTCCTAAAGGCTCATACAGTCCTAGTACCTCTGGCACTGAAATTACATTACCACTTTCTTAATTGTTGTTTTAATGTATGGAATGTGAATGATTGATTTGCCTTAAACGAATTCAACCATCTCAGCTACTGACAGTATTTTTAGTCCGTAGATCTCACTCTCTCTCTATCTTTATCATCTGAGGCACTCACGAGATGAGTACCCTTTTCTATGGCCGTGACGATCCTGCCTTTACCTAACACTTTTCTTTAGAGATTCCACTTTGACATCAGTTCATGCACTAGAAGACTAGGATTTCCCACGGCAAATAACCACGGCACAGGCTGTTGCTGACATTAAATAATCCATTTAGCAATATAACTTTCCGTCGGTTATTTGATCTTACGCGATTTATATATTCTGAAAGGACATCTTTAATACTAAAAGTTTGCCATTGAAGACAATAAGCTTGTTCCCTTCTGTTTACGTGAGTGGGGCGAAATTTTAGTTGGCAAAATATAAGTGTTTGATGTTTATGTGGTGACGGATTAAGATCACGGAGTGTCACCACTACTCTTCATCCTATGGGTGTCGTGGATCCGACTAAGGGAGGAAACTACGTAGGACAACAGACTGCAAAGAGAAGGAAAACTTGACACAAACCCTATACCAACTCGCCTGGCGAGCCTGGTATAGTATATATAGCAGTGGACTATTAACAGACCGTTGATGATGATGAATCAACTCTGCCTGCCACTTCAAAGATACAAGCATGAGTGTGTGTATATATATGTCTTCCTTTCTTCCATTTCAATATTTTTCTAAGAAAAAACACCATTCCCACACTAGGAATATATCCTGCACCACGAGGGATTTTACAAATATAAATGAAACGGATACAAAGAACACCCAGACTCAGAACAGCAATTTGAGGATCACACAAAGTGTTGTCCCAAGTGGGAATTGAATGCAACAGCGCAATAGCGAGGTGACCGCCTAAATTACTATGCTATCCCTGCAGTCGAATAGATTTAAATCTGACATCCGTAGCAAGCATACGCTAATGAATACTCATTAAAACAATTCGGTCTTCTTACACTGAGCTAGATTCAGCGAAAACAGTCTCCAAGTAAACAACGCATGCGGATGTAATGGAGCCATTCTCGGTGGAGGAGCAGTCGCAGGTTCTGGCAATGGCAGCGTGCTCAACCACATCATGTCACCCAGAGTGCGGTACTCGTTGATCTGTTGGCATATTTTGAAGATTAAATTTTTAAAAAGAGATTCAGAAACAATTCTCAATCTCATCTATGTTTTTTTCCCGTTTTCCTCATGGACCAACTATGTACGCACAACTAGTTGTGCCATCCTAGAATATGCTCTTAATGACACAACTATGCACAACTAAGCACAACTGATTTACTATAACCATTCCTTTTAGCACAACTACAGGAGGAAATATATAAGATTATTACTAACCTCTTCAGATATTGATGATTATGTTGGCCACTTCTGTCATATCTTTGTATATTAACAAATAGAAAATTATAAATGCCATTTCAAGTCATTTATTGTCAGTAATGATTTAAAAAATATTGATATATTATTTTCGTGCATACGCTGGCGTATATCCTGACTGTAAGCATGTCTATGTCTACGCCAGAAGAGGAAGAACTTATAACCATAACGATGAACCTTTGTACACCGATTGTAATCAGTTGTGTATCTAGGAACAAATATTAATTGAAAATTATTTAGTTGTGCCAATAGGAATGATTTAAAAAAAATATTCCTTATGACACAACTAGTTGTGCATACATAGTTGGTCCATGAGGAAACACGGGTTTTTTTCTTAGTAAGGCGATTTGTATGTAAATTTATGGATGCCATATTCCTCGAGTAGGAGCATAATATGTTTTACTTACGAAAGTTCTATCTATAAGTAATAAATATTATTTCGTTATTCGTCCCGTTCTGGGTATGTTCAGTATGGAACTTCTTTAGTGTCAAGTTAATATGAAACTTGACAAATTGGTAAAGTACTAGAAATTTAAGAAAATTTCTAAAGTAGTATTTTGCCTTATTGGACTCTGGGCGCCTAAAGCAAGAACGACTCTTTAAAGGAACTTGGACAGTAATGAACAGAAACTGTGACTACTAGTGACTGCGAACAAGAAAACCTATGAATAGGGTACCCAGCCAGGTAGGTGAGTTTGTTTTATGGATTCGTTACGAAGAAAGGATATGGTCCAGCTTAGGCTGCATTGTAACTAAGCTGTAACTCTCATATTTAACATAGAGAAACTGTAGATATACAGAAATCGCCACATCATCGGCAAAGAGTCTGATTTCGCAGACACCGGAAAATTGGGTAGTTTTGGTACCAGAAGTTTTCAAACCGGGAAAATTGATTGAATATCATGAATCAGGAGGTCAATTCAGTTCCGATCAACTCTCGATCTCACAACTGTCATAAAAGGTATTTTCTTGGTAAAGTATTAAACCTCTAACGTTGTCTGTAATGTGATTATATTTTACTTGTATTGTAACCGAATATTGAATCGATAATCTGCAGTCTTATTTACTTTGCCATTTTACTACAAAAATACCTTTTATGACAGTTGCCAGATCGAAAGCGGATTGGTACTGAATTTATGCCAAATTTTAATTACGAGAATCGGCCTTCAGCGTGCTCTATACAAGTCTAAAATTGTTAAAACCAAAATGCCCATCAAATTATATAACTTCTTAATTATAACGCTTACGTCAGGGTCTTCCACGTCCACGGGGTTAAGGTGCAGGTCGGTGGCTCCTCCCAGGTAACTAAACACCATTTCTCTGATGAGATCATTGCACTCACACTCTAGATATTGATCCGCAAAAAAATGACCCGAGCCAATTACAAATAATTTACCTAAAAGAAAAATTATAACATAAGTTTTTATAAAGAAGAAGCGCCCTATGTCCAGCGGTGGACTATTAAAGGCTGTGATGATGATGGTGATGCGAATACGTGTAACTCACGTAACTTACCACCGCTTTTGTCAGAAGTGTACATAGCAGCAACAGGCCTCTTGACGGGATAACATACATCACTGCTGGATAGAACTGCTGCAGCAGGCTTTTTTACTGTCAACGTGGCTCCAAAGGGGTACACGAAATTTGGCGTCGCTGGATCCTCCCTACGACAAGAAACAGATACATTTTAGTGTTATCATTGGTAATGACGTAACTGCTTCTTTTTCAAATAAGAAACTAACGAGTATCATTCATATAACTCAAAATCGTAGGTCACTAATTCCTTCCAGTAACACACATATAGTCAAATGGCAAAAGTGAGGCGTATTAATCCAGTGGAATTTACATGAGCGCGATTCTCTGTGACGCAACACCAACCTACCAAAATTAATGTCTGTTATAGAAATAAATCATTATTTTCTAAATAAGCATAAAAATAGTAACCAATTAATCAAAAGAAATACTGTATAAAGAAGCAGCTGCCTTCACATAGTGAAGTGAAACGAAATGAGAAGAGGAGTTGTACTGAAATCCGGAGCCTCAACAAAGGTTTGCTGAATCTTACTCTTATAGAAATATATGGTTCTATGAACCGGCGGTCGTTTATCTTCTTCAGAAGGAAGTATGCTTAGTTGACATCATCATCATCAGCCTTTAATAGTCCACTGTTGGACATAGCAGAGGAGTCCTTAGAAATGAGGTTTTGGCCCACTATACTACACTGGCCAAATGATTTGGTATAGGGTTCGTTTCAAGTGTTCTTTTTTTTCAGTGCTGTTATCCTGTAGAGTTTGCCATCTTAGTCGACTCTTACGAAACCCACGAGATGACTAGGGGTGGTGACACTCTGTATTCTTAATACGTTACCACACAGACCGTAGTTACCGCACCGCTACAGTACCGTACACAGATTAGTTGCCAACTCGTTAGAAAAATATAGCTTACAGAAAATCGTCAGACTCGCTACTGTAGTTGGGCATTTTCATCAAGTACTTGGTTAGGGCTCTATTCAATATTCCATTGGAGATATGACACTCCTTCGGATGGTAGAACTTGTGATATTTCGCACGGACTACACAATCTGGAATCAAACATCATGTTTTGTACAAACTCATTGATACGACGGAAATATATGGCAGTTTAAATTAAAAAACTCAAAATTTTTATGTTAATTTTTAATAATATTATCAAGATGAAGAGTTGGTTTGTTTGGTTCAACGAGCCAATCTCAGGAACTACTATCTCAAATTAAAAAAATCTTTTAGTGTTGGATAGCCCATTTATCGAGGAAGGCCGATAACATCATGCTATCGCCAATACAATACCAAAACAATATTGCAAAAACGGGGTAAATTTATTATTTTGAGAGACGCAGACCAAGTTGTGGTGGTCAGCTAGTAAGAAATACAATTAAAACGAAATTAAAAGATTTATACGCCCTATCCCTGTACTGTTTGACGGGTCACCATAATATTTCGGTCATTACACACAACGCCATCTAGTTTCAAACAAAGCAGAGCATGTACTATTAAAGCTAGATTGACTGATAGAATACTTTAAATACTTTTCTTTTTGTAAAAACATCCATATTTTACATAGAAAACACCTAAACACCAATTATGCTAAGAATTCTGTTCTCACTCGTTTGCCTAGCTGTTACAATATTAATTTTGACGAGATCGACATCTTTCACCTCTCAAAAAGTGCCATTAAAAGACAAATAACTAAAAAGTTGCAATCATACTTGTGAGTCCAAATTAAAATTGTTTTTGTAAGTTGCTTTCTTTTGGAATACTTCTCACCCTGCACAATATACCTAATATAAATTAAATTATAGATAGTATGTAATACGTACAATTGCCTATGTTTAAGTGCTGCAAGTCTTTTACTTGTCACGAAACTTTATTATTGGCTAAGAGTCTAAAAAATGTTTAACTTCACCCATGATATATGTAACATAGCTGTTAAGTTTCCAAATAAATAAATAAATAAACTCTGAAACAAATATTTGCAGAGCATAGAAACATTTGGTCAGACTCGGGAATCAAACCCTAGACTTTAGAACAGCAGTCGCATACGCTACCACTGAGCCACCGAGGCAGCCTGCGCCGCCGAGGCAACATGAGAAACATATAAAAAGTTGGTTTTATTAAGGCAGATATGTGTAATGTGTAATTTTATTTATAAAATCTTTTTTATCTTTTATCTGAGAACTTTATCTTATCTTATATATACAATTCTCGTGTCACAATGTTCGTTCCCGTACTCCTCCGAAACGGCTTGACCGATTCTCATGAAATTTTGTGTGCACATCGGGTAGGTCTGAGAATCGGCCAACATCTATTTTTCATACTCCTAAATGGTAAGGGTGACCCATCCCTAATTTTTATTTGTTTTGAAATACAACGTTTGCCGGGTCAGCTAGTACTAATCTAAGAGCTTAACGCTGTCTTAATACATTACCATTATTAACAACTATCCCAAATTCCTCTAAAAAGAAGTTAATATTTGTATTCGTCCGTTCTTCTCCGCCGTCTGACATGGCAACGAGGACCGAGTCTCCTCGGTCGACCATATTCTTTAGACATGATAATTCATTATCTGTGAATGCGTTCTGAGGCCCTGGTATCACAAGTATTCTAACATCTTCCAGGATGTAAGAGGATAGTTCCTCGCGATTTCTGTAACAATTACGAGAAAATAAGAATACATTTCTAGATTGTTATGGCTTCCTGAATATAAGATTTTGAAAATCTGCATAGCTACTGCTCTGCTGCCTTTGGTCAAGAACCCGTCCCTCCACAATTGAAAATATCTCTTACAAACAAAATGGGTGTTCAAGACGTAATAGATAGAAAAATTTTAAGTGCAATAATGTACGCAAAAACTTAAAAAATTTGCACCGATTGAGCTCAAATTTTTACACAATATACAATCCGCTTCATAGATTGTTTTTGTCTAATTTTGTTCAGTTTTGTTCCTCTTTTCTCATCAATGCAAACACAGTGAAGCGTGGCAGGGTACAGCCCAGGCCCGTCTCTAATCTATTGGAGGCCCTGGACAAATTAGCATAATGGGGCCCCACGAACTTAGCTGAGCACTATTTTGTTAGAATGGACAAAAAAAGGATTGTAGTCAGTCATTACAAATGGATTTTTCGATATAATTATGTTTTTCGGTGATAAATATTGATTTTCGATTGGTGATCTGGCAGGAATCGGGCTCCTATCGATCGAGCGGCCCTGGGCACGTGCCTAAAGTGCCCAGTGGGAAAGCGGGGCCTAGTACAGCCAGTACGTAATATATGTAGGTATAAGTATAGCAACGCAATATTCGCTGGTGGCAAACTTCGGGAACTCGAATTAGTTAAGTGCGGATTACTGTGTGTGTCGTGTACCATCCTAATACAATCTTTATATATTATTGTTTTCATTTTTTTAAAGCACTTCTGTACTTTGAATATATTCTGTGTCGCTTGGAACTTTACAAGCATACATGAAAACGGACTCATAAAACACCCAGACTGAGAACAATAATTGATGGATCACACAAAGTGTCTGGCCAGCGTGGTATAGTAGGCCAAAACCTCCTTTCTAAGGAGAGGCCTATGTCCAGCAGTGGACTAGTATAGGCTGTTGATGATGATGATGATGACAAAGTGTTGACCCGTGTGGGCGATCGGACCCACAACAAACAGCGCAGTAGGAAGTAGCGAGGTGACCGCTTAAACCACTACGCCATCCGTTCAGTCGCATTAGGTGCAGGTATAGAACAAAAACTCTTGCCTGTATACATTTTTTAGAAGACTTGTCATTTCCTAGATTGTACATAACTCTTTCTGTTTCATATTCACTAATACGTAACATGTATCTAATAAAATCTGTAATTATTCTTCACTTTCTTATCCCAACAAATATTGATAGTACGGATTTGCAGGGTTTACTAAATTTTACTTAAAATGATACATAAACCATGTACTTACATCATAACTTTCCAAGTCGTCTTCAGTTTCCTATGTAGCATTTTATAGTTCTCCGTAATTTTGAACAATTCATTTTTGGACACATCAAACAATATCGTATCTACTGATTTCATTTTATAACTATATAACTACTGATTATTATGCGTAAATTATAAATTATTACGTCGTAATATATTTTACACTTATGTCACATAAGGATGTTTGTTTTCAATATTTGTTGCGAGTGTTGCTTAGCAACCAAGATCGATTGTTTAGTTGGCCCTACTCATATCCATCATAGCAAGGAATCTTTAAAATCAGACTAATTAAGTATAATCATCGAAAATCACATTGGGTCACTGTTTGTTTGTTGAGACTGAAAGCCTATTAATTCCACGGAAATAATTCAAAATACACACACGCACACGCGTGCTTACCCACACTTAGGTAACTACATGCACGCGAGGCCACAATAAAAAGAAAAAAAGGCATATTATATGAATAGTGTAGTAGCATAACACTGACTCCTAAGTCACAGCTTACCGTACTTTAGGAGGCAGGGGTTGTTGTCGCACGTACCCAGCGGGGACTGCGAGGGAGAGACGCTTGGTGCTACCAACAACTTTTTTGCAACTCAGCTTCAGGGGTCGCAATACATAGGCCTTCATAATTCTGATTTTAAAATGTTTTGTCAAAGGTTTCAAGAGTCAATAAAAAATAATAGTAGTTTACAATTTCTATTGATGTCCTATTAACGCTGTTCTTTCACTTTGAAGAATTCTTTAAATAGGTCTCTGATTTAAGACTTTAAGGTTACTTTCAGATTTACTGGTCCGCCAGGTTTGGGAACGGGCCAGGTACCGCAGGTACGGAGATGATGACAGGTAAGGCCATCTGTCACCCTAGCAGAAGCAGGCCGGGTGGCGGCGCGACGCTTTCCTTTCTGGCTTGCACCTGGTTCTCTGGCGATAATGGGCTTTTTAGTCGGATCGAGTCCGACATGACCATCTCACCGGTCGTCCGGTATTCAGAAAATTCATCGGTCGTTAATAATCCACTTCAAAAAAAGATGTTAATAATAGAAGTGTCACTCGAAATCATATCGTCGATATCATTGCCATTTGTGAAGCCAATAATTATTTTTTAATTGAAAAGGTTATATTCAAGAAGGAAGCAGATAATAAAGCTTATCTAAGAGTTTAAAATAAAGGGATGTAGGATGAATCTTATTATAATTTATAATGATTTACGTCTGATGAAGTCGACGATACTTCTTTTAAAGGTAAATATAATAAGTTTATTTCCTTGATTGAATATAAGAGACGTGCGACTTAGATGAGGCGCTTTTCGCCCTTGGGTTACCTTAAAGGTAAAAAATCAAATGCATCCCGAAGTAAAAACTACTTCAAACTCCTCTTTGAACTTGATTACGACAATATTTAACAGAATTTAGTAGTCTCCGGGTTCTTGACAAATGAGATAATGTACCCAAGAGTCTATTTACCCTTAAATATGTACTCTGCTAAGGTTATTGTTAAATGGGATTAATCTGTAATAAAACAATAAATAAATTGTCAAATAATATAATTTTATTTACAAATCGAATAATGATAACTTTCGAACTAGATTAATAAGCTATATCTAATCTAGAATTTAGCTTTGTATTTACAATTTTGTCTATTATTAATTATATTTAAAATATTGCTACGTGTCGTAAACATCAGAAGTCTTCTAGTACAGTACTTAAATGTTTTTGGGAGTTTTACAAAAGTTATAATCATAATTAAATATAGATATTACAATATTGATAAAGCGCCAGTTTATACGATTTTTGGAGGTTTGTTGACGTCACAAGAAAAACCCTCTCGTGAAAAACGTATGTGGTTATCTGTGGTCTAAACTGGCCAAAGACAACCGCAAAGGATATAATATTAGAACTGGCACATTACTTGTGTTCATAGGTAAAAATATATAGATATATCAACCAGATAAGCGTAGGGCAGAACACTGTCCTAAAAAATTTAATAAAAAAATTGAAGATTTTAAAAGCAATAAATCTCAACACACTGCGTGAAAGGGAACGGAACAGATAGGAACAAGAACGTAGGAACTTTTTAAATTATCCAATCAAATATAAAAAAATAAATTAATTGTTGTTAGTTATAGTTTCTTGAATTGTTGCGAAGAAGAAATCTAATTAAACATTGGATCACCATTTATCTTGTCATCTTTTAGAAATTTTTGATTAGTTTCGCAACATGTTAATTCTATAAGTTTTTATTACACAGAGAAAGATTCCAAGAATTTAAAATATTGATAGTTTTCCCAGAAGTCGAAACCTGAAGAGACGGTTGAACGAGATCTCCTGGCATCAGACCAGATCAGTTGGAAGCAGACCGTTAATCGTTTAAAGAGTGACGGATCCTAGCAATCGTTCTATAGATTATTTATTAGTATTAACTTTTAGTTATTAACTTTTCGCTGTATGGACTACCTCATGAGTATGATGGACTACTCACTAGATCATGAGTTAATTTTTTGTTCATGTCCTTCGTAAATTTAGTTTCACAATTTTCTTTCGGGCGTCTAGAAAATTTAGTAAACCGATTTTTTTCTTTTTTCGAATATGTTATGTTGTTATATATTCAAAGATGTCTTTAGGCCTTGCTAAACGTTTGTAAACTGTAGTCCTCAAATAGAATAATACAGATCAACTCTTTATCTTTTTAAAAATCATTATCTTTTTGTAAGCAGTTGAACTATAGGAGAATCATCTGTGTTTGAAGTATGGTAAAAGAGTCATAACACACATGACATTAACACATGCTTGCATGCACATTTTGCCTAAAAAACTATATTGTTTCTAAAATATTCTAAAACCAAAGGATAATAGATTTCCGTAAGTCATTTTGGCAAAATATTTCATTAATTTATAAAATAAATTATGTTACGTATTAGTTGTTCGATAATTCGTTGTAGTTAGTCTGTCACGATAAGGTAATACAAATATGTTTATATAATTACAAAATCTACGTTATAAAGTATTGCTCCAGCTTTAAACTTAAAATAATGTAAATACAATAAAATCTGTGCAAGTTTCAAGATAAAAGAAGAAATAAAAATTAAAAATGTATTTATTCGCTATATATTGGGCTATACATTATTTTAATTCTGTACATTGTATAGAATATATAAAACTTATGTAATAGGAATGGACTTATATAAAACTATTTTTCTACTATTTTCAGTAAATATTTACAAAAGAATCATTTTAGTTTCATAGATATTTTGAGCTGACTTTGAGCTTTTATGAAATAAAATAACATTAATTAATATTTAAATAGCTGCTAGCTCCATCTGTTGGTAGAGAATGTACTTATAAGGAGCATAGATAACAGAGGTTCGGAGCTAAATATATGTGGGGTACACTCCATTCATAAAATCAAAGTCAATATATGAGAAAAGCTGTATTGCTTTAACTTCCAAGAGCGTGACGTATTTATTGCACTGTACCTCGCAAATATTTTAGCATAAATTGGTCAAAAATAAAAATAGGAAAATGACATTATAACTATACAATTTTTCACATAGCGGTGATACTTGATTTCGTTAATATCACGCAGTTTAAACTTTATAAATTTATATGTATACGAAAAGTTAATATTTCATGAGATACAATGAAATCACAATTGTTGGTGAACGCACCTCAAGTGTTTATTAAGTGTTATAGTTTAAAGAGTATAAATACCAATAATAACGGTAAAAAAAGGATTTTATAATAACTACATTTTTAGTTATTTGACTCACGAAATATCACCGCTATGTGGAAGAAGGTACTTTGTAGGGCGTTTTATAACAAATATACATTTCTAGATCTTTGAAGGCATAATTTGAAATAAATGCTTAAAGACACTTCAATGTAGAACAATTTTACTGTGATTGGGATTCTATACTAGTTATATTGAGTTAAAAAAATAATATCAAATCTGTATAATAAATAAAAATATGTAAATATTTCCGGTCGAACTAACTTTAGTTCAGTTTGACGTTCTCCCAACATTGACAACATAAAATACTTTCAACATTCATTTTTCGTAACCCAGACCTCTTTCCAGCGAAGTTTGAGGTATGGAGGGTAGAGGTAAGAAGAACCATTTTTGTGTATGAAAAGTGTCCGTCAAAATGTGTAAAAGTAGGGGTAAATCTGTGTAAATATTAAAGAAAGCGCCAAAAATTATCATAGTAGGATAGAGAATTAAACATGTAAAGAAAAAACATTGTTTAATTTTTTTGGCTTAAAAAATAATTACAGTGTACTAGACTGCGAAATCGCTCATAATAAGATGTTTTACAGACAATAAACAAACTTCACTCCGTCTATAACTGCTATGTTCATGTCATTCCTACACTAGCGCCATTCTGGTCGGTTTTAGAACTATTATATATTGCATTTTGGTGGACACTGTTTCGGTTTGCCGCCCCATACACGACAGTACTCCTTAACTCTGCACTCCATAGTTTGAGGGTAGTATGAAATGTCATATAAATACAGTTAATATTAAAAAGGTATTAAGTGTCATATCATATAGATGATAGTTTTACCTTTTCAGTACTAAATGTGAGGTAGCAATAGCGCTTCAATCAAGAAGAAATCTGATATACTTTAGTATTATCACAATACAAAATGTATCTAATGCTAGCCACTTAATTTATTGCAGACTTTTACCAAAGAGTGTGATTTAGTTATATGGCAATACTGATATTTTTTAGCCCTGGCCTATGTCCAACAGTGGACTGCTATAGGTTATAATCTTCCATCTCCACTAAGAACTAAGTCAATAGTTTGGAGGGCGTATTGAAATTTTTAATAATGTATTGCAGTACGATGACGTCACAGTTTATTAGGACTGTAACAGATCCTGTGATTGCGAAGTTTTGGTTTATGTCTATAACAGTCTGTCTTGAATTTAATGGTATCAGTTATTAGTGAGAGGTTTTATAGAAATTATAAAACGGGTTCTATAGAGCTACGACATTGCAAAACGTATTAACCATTTTTAATAGTTAAGGACATGATATGTAGTTATTTAATTTTGTTCTAGCTTATTTATGGGGTAGTGTGTTTTAAAGAATTAAATTTTTGTTTATTTTCTGCGAAAATAATAAAAACAATTTTAGCTCTAGCTGTCTTTGTTCAACTCAGTGAAAACAACAAAGATTGAATGAGATTAAATGTGATAACTTGAACAGAGATATACAAGCTGCTGGAAACTTTACCTCAAACAACAACAACACAATGTAACAGAACTCTATCTATCTCTTTCTTCTTCTTTTTTCTAAGTTTTCCTTCTATAATACGTGTCGCCCAACTCCGTGTCCCAAGTACCAGGATAGCAGCAGATCATAAGAAGCCCATGTCGAGCGCGTTGTAGAGCGCGGCGATGTCGGAGTGGCTGGATATTCTCCAGAACGGGTAGTTCTTGGCTTTAGCGGCCGCTTCTTCGTCCTGCCCGTCCCCGATGACTACGTACGTGCAACGTTCTCCGAAGCGCTGTTTTATTTTTTCGAAGCAAGTTTCTTTTCCTGTGAAATTAAGAGAGGTTATATTGTATTGTATTTAAGCCTGAATTTCTGTATGCTTTTGAGATAAAAAAAAACAGTGGTACCCTGGGAGTGCCGACAGAAATATTAAAACAGGCAATTCTTTTGTTTTGTTTCGACTTGAAAAGTTCCGACATGAATATATTATCTATGTTGTACGTATACATATACACATATATATATGTTTATATTATATCAATGTATTTTAATCCAAACTCAACTCCCGTCTTAACGGGGCCAATATATGTAGATACTTATAGACAGAGGTGTCGGTAACGGTAACAGTGTCGCGAGTTCAATGTTTTTTTCCACTCTCAAAACTTTTGTTTTTTGATCAAAAATGCCCAACGCGCCTAAAGAAGTTTTCACTTCAAATATATTTGGTCAACCCTTACTGATTTGTCAAGTCCAGAAAGACAACAATGTTAAAAAATAAATAACAGATTTAAAAAGAAATTAAAAATTCTTAGTTTTATGAATTTTAGTTATTGGTATAACTAAACACGAAAATCCGTTCTAAACAAAATTGCCATTTTGGATTGCCAAGGCTTTTTACAGATCTACTATATTTTATTTTATTTATTAAAAATATACGACCATTACTAACACATCAAATGCTATATTTATGCATATCTATCCTTTTTTTATTTACACTTTATGCACAAACGTTACAAAGGCGGACTTAATGCCGTAGGCGTTTTTCTCCCAGTCGACCTTGGGGCGATGCAGACCTAAAAAATGGTATATGCAGAGGGCACTTTTTTAGGGGTCAAATCAAAACATTGGAATAGAAACAACACTTACCAGTTTTAGTGGCGGAGTAAATGTTCTCTATGGGAAATACACCTCCCAAACCAAACAGCAGAACCTTAGCCAGCGCTGGCACTAGTTGAGTTGTCGTCACCAATACGTTCACACAGTTCTCTCTGCAATAAGTAATAAATATTTTAATAATAATAGTAATATTTCGGACATCTAACACACAAGGCCATCTAGTTTAAAGCTAAGCAGAGCTTGTACTATGAAAACTAGATTGACTGATAGAATCCTTTTATACTTTTTTTGTATATACATATTGTATATAGTATAATAGTACATAGAAAACACTCAAACGCCGATACAAATATTTGCAGAGCATACAAACATTTGGTCCGACCCGGGAATCGAACCTGAGACTTTAGCACAGCCGTCGCATACGCTACCACTGCACACTGAGGCAGTCTATTATAACTATATTATTGCATATTTAATTAATTTTTGAAGCGCCGGTAGCGTAATAGCTAAGGCGTTGAACTTTAAATCCGGTCCGGTTTCAATCAATTTCAGTCCAGGTTCGAACCCTATTTACGTAAACGCACTCCCAACCTTGTGTTAGCTGGAGGTGTAAATAAAAATTATAATGTGTGACCCATTTCCTTGGTGTTCTTTTAATAAATAGGCTAAATAATAACCGCTAATAGGAATTTGATTACACCTCATAAAATTATAATACGCCGAGTGTTGTGGGTTCAAACCCCACATGGGACGACACTTTGTGTGATCCACAAATTGTTGTTCTGAGTCTGGGTGTTCTTTGTGTCCGTTTCATGTATGTTTGTAAAGTCCCCCGCGACACAGGATATTTTCCTAATGCGGGAGTTGTCTTTTTTTTTTTAAATAAAAAAAATATATATATACACGGTGATTTTTTAGGCGTTTTGGAAACGAAACATTTTAATTTGGAATCATCTATAGTACCAATAAAAATGATTAAATCAATTGTAATGTTGCCTAAAAAAAAGTTTCAGTTTTAATATTCATTTTTACTCGATCGACTTGGAAAGTAGTAATGGACTGATCATTCATTCATTATCTTATATGAATGAAACACGTCCGTGGGCGTTTCGGCGGCCGCTGCGCACCGCTGACGCTAACAGCAGCTGACAAAACTATACCTATAGGCGCGAGCTAGCGAGTACTTACGTAGATAGACTCCAATTTGTCCTTCATACTTTATTACATCATATTGTTCTTTTCACAACAAATCAATTTATCAACGGACTGTAGGTATAAATATTTTAAGCGTATTTAAAAAATCGGAGCTATCTACAGACTAATTAACTTACATACCTATTTACACTTCTCTGTATCGAAGCAACTGCTCAAAATGGAGTCCGCTGCATTCAATACACAAACGTCCACTTTTGATGCAATTGTTTTTTAATTTTCTTAATGTGTCTCTATCACTTTTCACTTTATCGAAAGCGTCCACTATCGCAATGCGTAAATTATCACGGCTTTCATATTCCCGTGTATAAACCAGTCTTTTTATTTCCGACCATAAGAAAAAATCCAGGGGCGTTAAGTCCGGGCTTCTAGGTGGCCAAGGCACCTAACCTAACTCTGAGCAAAGTAAACCTGCCGTACCTTGCCTGACCTCACCAGATGCCTTGTTTATCTTCACCTTTGTGGTGGCCCCATAAGAATAAAAACCTCAATCAAAAATTATAGTGTGCTCACCTAGAATTGATCATATTGAGACACTTGCAAGCTAACGTGAGCCAGTTGTCTGTCGCCTGTTCAAGTTCCGCTCTCAGCTGCAGCCATTGTTCTCTTTTAGCAGGACCTAGTAGACCACCCACACTGCAACAAATACAAGTAGACGTTATTTACTTATGACATTGTCTTTTATCACCAAAATGGCGAATGAGCTTCAGCAGATCGAACTGCCCATCCCTTATGTAATTTCGAAGTAATATTAAATCCAAATAACTTTACTTCCAAGTAAGTGAGGCATTTATAGATTTCAGTAGAAAGATGGCATTTCGTTGCTAAAAATTATGTCAAAGTAAACTTTGAATTCCAATGATTTATCATATTATTTATTTCTAAGTTTATATGTTGCATGCTAAAACCTAGCCTATGTCGAGCAGTGGACTAGTAAAGGCTGTTGATGTGATGTGTGATGTGTTGCATGCTAATTGTTAACCCCCACACAAAAAGTAGGTGCGTTTTCAGTTTAATGTGTATCTGTATGTCTGTTTGTGACTTCATAGTTCCTAAAAGTTAACCAATTCATACGGGTATGACTATACTAAGTGTTGCGAATTATAAATATGCGCCATGAAAGGTGTTAATTTAAGAATAATCACCTATTTCTATAGTTATTGTAGGTGTCCTTGATCTTCCTATATCTGAAGGCGAGCTTCCTCATCCAGTCGACGCCGCCCCTGACGCCGGGCGCGCACAGCCCGGCGCTGGGCGCGGCGCCGGCGTGGAACCCGTCCGCCGCGAAGTTGTACGCCGACAGGTCCTGCCCGTTGTCGTCCGCCGCTACCGCGTCTATGTGCTCCTGGTCACAGTCCTGTCGGTAAACATGCTATGTTATACTTGTTGTAGGCTTGTGGTTTTGTTTCTACTAGTAGAAACTGAATGAACTAAACGAATTAAGGAAGGAAGGAAAGATTACTTATATTTAGGAAAGACATTTTTCATAATAATATTATTTCGGACATCTGACACACAACGCCATCTATTTTCTAACTAGGCAGTTTTTGCTATGAAAGCTAGAATAATAAATAATAATGGAACCTAACTAATGTTATACAGGTAGAGAAACTTTTTAATTAATCCTCTGTTACAAAAAATACTTAAAATAAATAATATCTTACCTCAACATCGTTAAAGAAGAAATGTGTATCCGCCAGGCTAAATATCATTTCTTCCATCCTAAAACCCAATTGAACTATTTGTTGTGTATCCTGAAAAAAAGTAGAACTTGGAATTATTCTCCTCGACCTTCTCCTGTCATTATTGTTTCTGACCGTTGGACTAGTAGCTTAAGGGCCGGGATTCTATAGTTTATTCGGGTTAAGAAAATAGTGACGCATCGATCAAGTCCCGCACCCTGATCAATCAGGTTCCAAGTAATCGTACGAATCGATAATTTCTTGAAACCTGATTGGTCAGGGGGCGAGGCTAGATCGTTGCGTCACTATTTTCTTAACGCAAATGGACCATAGTTTATTAAGAGATGTGTTTCATGATAAAGATATAATGTCATACCTTATTGTACTTAGTAGCATACGTCCCTGTGAGAAGGGAATGGAAGATGATGATAGTCTCGTCTAAATCCCATATAAATACTCGGTCCGTTGCAGGTTCAGGTACATGTTGTGCTGGTGACGATGATGTGTTACGCCGTCCACGCCCGCGTGAACGAGATGCTGTACTTTCACTGGAACAATATTTGTCGTTACTAGTAAAATTAAGTAATTAAGAACTGAAAATCGACTACAACTGGTCCGGACTACAACTGGTAACTAAAGATGAAACGGATATCCTGCATATAACAGTTATCCATTTCATCCGAAGTTATCTAATGCTTTTTATATTTCTAACTAGCTTTCTTCTAACTAAACTTCATAATTATTATTTTTTTAAAACCCACATTAGGAATATATCCTGTGTCGCAGGGGACTTTACAAACATACATGAAACGGACAAAAGGATAATGTTTAGTGGTAAATCCATTACATGATGATGAATTAGTAAAACAGATATCCTTACCCAGAGTTCTCTCGACATCTCCGACTTGCTGCATGTACTTCAGTTTTGATAGGTGAGAGGGGACTTGTATCATTTATTGACGGCAGCAATGACGATGGAGATTCTGTCAACAAGAGAATACTTACATTTACCAAATAATATAGGAGAACATTTAGTACCTGAAGTAGGAAAACAAAAACTTTAACTATTTTGGTATTGGGCTTCGGGTTCTATATTTAGACTCAAAAACGGTCCTTTATGCCTCATGGTTGGCTAGGTGAACCAACCCAGCTCCTTTCCTTCTAGGAGTAATTTTGTATCTGGTATGAATGATACTAGAATGTTGTGTGGCTACTCCCAGCGACACAGTTTTTTTCTTCTTGCTTTTATGCAATCTGTGAGAGTGATTCGGGGTGGAAGTGTGTCTTAGAAAGCCAGAGAAGTGTGTGCGTTTCATTTTACCAATAAGCATGTGCATTGCTAGAGTAAAAGGTAAAGGAAATGGAATGATAACAAGGAATACGGCTTTAGGGATAAGGAAAGGCAAGCTGTAGCTTCATGACCGATAACAGGTCGTTTTTGACAGGCCTGTGGGTCTAGTGGTTAGTGACCCTGACTGAAAATCGGAGGTCCTGAGATCGATCTCACCCAGGACAAATAATTGTGTGATGAGCATGCTGAATTGTTCTGTGTCTGGGTGTAAAAAGATAATTAACAAGTGATTATGATAACATAAAGATGTTTACTAAGTGGTTTAATTATTTAAAGTACCTACTATTTAAATCTTAATATAAGTTGTACCTATGAATTTTGACAACTGTATCTTATTTTTAAAAAAATCTGTAGTGGATTTTATAATTGCAATTTGAGCATTATGAGTAATTTCTAAAACGCATTCGATAAATTATAGTGTATAGAATGATCTCTCTATGGCCATGACTTGTGGAAAAGTTAGCTGGACCTATGATATAAACATGTAGAGTAGAAAAAAAATCCCAAATATCAAGTTGCTGTAGATAGATTGAATTCTATTCGTGTTCATAAGACAACCTTCCGTCTAAAAAAAGTTGATTCGTTCAATGCCACGGCGAAAAATATACAAAGTATGAATGTTAAGTTGAATTATGTATTTACAATTAAATACAGTTTAACATAAATATACCTTCGTCGGTATCTGTATCTGGCCAGTAGTCGGAGTCATCAAAACGATTTTCAGATGCATTCTCGTCCAATTTCCTTCGTTTATTATTTTGAAAACTTTCGTTCTCTTTATTCATTTTGTATAACGTATACACTATGTAATATTATCTATGGAATGAAAATCAGTCTTTTCAAAGACGGCTTATAATGAACACATGAATTTACACACAATATTTTGTTATAATTAAAGGCATTTGTTTTAAAACCACTAGTTTGTAAACATTCAACTTCGGCAACAAGTAAAAATATTGAAAGTTCTGTCAACTTCTATTAGACATTTTGACATTTCCTTCCTCATTGTCACAATGACAGAGGGCTACCAGACTTAAAAATGTTGGAATTACCGCAATGAATAACAAATTCATGAATTTTAGTTATAAAAACAAGTAATTATGATTTATATATTTCCTTTTTTATTTTAAAGAATCTTAAATTATTTATTATTATAACATTTTTTAAGTGTGAAGAATGTAAAGCCTTAACTCCGTAATAAAAAAATAGATGGCAGTAGTTGCTTGTTTTAAAATGTTTTGAATGTGTTGAAAAATGTTTCAATATAACCTACTAGACAAACTATTCTCTTATGGAATTCAGTTCCATCCCCGTATTTCATCAGTATCAAACAATGGAAAACCAATGATATATTCCATATCTGCCGTGTGATCTAAAAGTGCTCATTTCCAAATAATTGAGCCTTTTGACAAGAAATTTACAGTTACATTTAATAGTTACAACAATTTCAGTCAATTGGTTATGTTTTATTCTACCTTCACCTGATGGAAAGTGACTATCGCGACCCGTTAACACTTGCAACTTAAGAACCACAAGGGTGTGAGAGGCCTTTAAGTGCCCCGCCAGAATCAAGTGGTGTGGGTGAATTGGGCGGTAAGCCTAGGTAAAAAAAAACAATTAATAATAATTGACAGCAAAATAAATAAAAAACTGATAAGAATACCTGATAAAGCTCCTCCTAAATGATATGAGGTGTGTCCGGCGCTGCCGCTGCTGCTCGGGGAACTGACGTAAGGGGAGTAGCTGGGCGTGGCGTAGTACCCGCTGTACTGCGCCACGTTGTGGTCCGCGTACCCCGCTGCGTAGGTGCTGTAGTCCTGGTAACATGGCCACAGAGTTTAACAAATATTTAAAAAAAATACTTAACTTATTTTTATTAAAGTTATATTTGGATATTTTTTAGTGGACTGAGGGTTGGCAGATAATCGTTTTTGGGATCTACAAAACAAAGAAAAAATAATTTTCTGGATTTATTCAGTATATAAAAAAAAAACATTAGGTTTTCATTCTTTTCAACCAAAGAAAACATTAATAAAGCAATACCTAATTTCCAAATTGAATCCTAATTGAAAACAATAATTTTCTTTAAATCCCTCAAATTAATTAGTTAGTTAAAATAATGATATTGGGAAGCTTAGTAAAGTATAGCAAGATCGTTGTAAATTTAAGATAGGTTCAAGAGATAGGAGATAAGAAATTCTTATCTAACAGAAGTTGACGTGGACCCTGCTCTGGCTAGAGCTACATACTCACTTGTTGGGCAGTAGGAAACGATTGCGTAAGTCCTCCATTGTAGGAGGAGTACGCGTAGGGCGAGGGTTGGGTCCCAAAGCCAGTGCTCGGCACTCCGCTCACACTGCTCACGCCGTACGCGCTCAGGTAGGTAGGCGTCGCTTTACATGACGACCTGGTACAAATTAAGAGGTAATATTTAGCTGGTGAGCAGTTACGTACTAATACTTATAGAACCAGAGGAACTTACACTTTGTAAAACTTGATTATCTCAGTATCTATAGTAAAGGAAAATTTGAAACAAACAGTATACCTATCAACTGGTCTGGCCAGCGTGGTATAGTAGGTCAAACCTTCTTTGTATGGAGAGGCCTATGTCCAGCAGTGGAGTATTAAAGACTGTGGATGATGATGATGGTGGTATACTGATGACAACTGGCTGAGTACAACAATGGTATCGAACACACCCCAGGGTCTTTACATAAGGAAGACTTTGGTACTCTAAATTGATATTCTTGTAGTTAAATAACTATATAAACATGATCGTCTCTACAGTTAAATGGCATACTGAAGACATTCAATATTGGTTGAAGAATTATAAAAGGAAAACTTAGGTATGTAAAAGAATTGGCACTGAATTGCGAAAAGCAAATAGGAACTGACACCTGTTTTGCGTCATTGCTGGAAGAAACACCTAAGTTCGTAGATACATACCTATTGTTGGTATTGTGTGGTGGTGGATAAGCCCCATACGGCTGGTTGTACAGAGTTGAGCTGACGTACGACGAGGCCGCGCTGCCACTACCATACTGCTGCATACTGCAAGAAATAAAAAGTGTCATAATACGGCTAGGTTTTCTTTGGAGTTTACTCCTTAAGAATTCATATAAGACCGCCAGTTTGAAAAAAATATGAAGAGTAAAATTTAGTGATCGAATGACCTTGTTACCTCGTATCGTGCGCACCTTTCACATGTATGTGTATAACTTGTATACTTGTGTGCACCCGAATCATTCTTAAGAAGTAAACTCCAGTCTAGCGTTAGAGCACACACACAGTTTTTTTTTTAATAGTGATAAGACGCCAATGGACACCTACGATGGGAGTCAAAAATGCTTGGCCGCCCCTTTAAGTGCGCCTCCCAATATAAAGGGCAGGGGTTAGGCTTCGTCAGCCAAAAGTTAAAGGATTTATGATCAAGAGCTTGCAAGTGCGAACATCATAAAGTAAATATAGAGTTCAGTCGTTTTTTCTTTCTGAGACTTGTGTTGTGGTATTACCTATTTAACCAATGTCACTAGACGCTAGACGTAGGTAACCGTTGTCATACTCAAATTTATGTTATTGTATGTTCTTGAATGATTACATTCCCAAATTTATTCGATTATATTCGCACTTTAATTTAATTATATTATTCTCTTTCTCACAATGTGTTGTGGTTGTTTTTATTCGTATGAAACCAGCCACAACACATTGTGTTTACTGCAAATAGGATTACAAAAAAGGCAAGAAAATTATAATTACGAGTAATAAAAGTGCAAGATCTAGTAACGTTTTATTATTGACGGGTAAAAAGGAAAATATTTAGAATATTTTAATATTAAAAAAAAAACAAACAAATGTCAAGAAACTTTTTTATGTATGTATGCTCGGATGGACGGATGGACTGTATGCTCAAAGTTCCCAGATTGTATCACTACTGCACATTAAAATTAAATACGGACTTTTACGCCTTTACAAAAGTAGGTACTTGGTAATAATTTTAAATTATTTAAAGTTTTATAATTCGATGTGCAGATAACAAGATCTAGTAGTTACACGAAGATACAAATACGAGATAAATACCAAGTCTCAAACAATTAAAATATTTTAAATTACTCTCCTCGAGCTTGGGAATAGTCGAGTTATTTTATTAATTAATCTCAAACAAGATTAGGGATTGACGCGCCAGTATCGTGCTTCCGTAAGTACTGTTTTAAGAATTTTCGGAAGCTTCTATGGTTTCTTTGTCAGTTCAGTGACCGGCTAGACTTAGACGTTTAGTTAGTTTAGGGTAGTTAGAAAACGTGTGGCAACTGATTAAATAGATAAAGATTAGAAAAATATACCCGAATATACCTACCCAAAATTGTGTTTAATTTTGTAGCTAAACTAAAAAAATTTAAGAAGTTTGTATTCCATCAATTAGCGCATATAGTGTGTCTTATATTCACGCGTGCTCAGTCCTCAAGCATATTATCCAGGAGAGAATCATATAGGTATGAATCTAGTGTAGTTTGAGTATAGTTAGCGCGATTTCAAGTACGAAATTGAAACAAATTGGAGCTTATCCTGAGACTTGACAAAATTACTAAAACTACTTACACAAAAATTTAGAAATTAAAAAGATTTATTAACATAACTGATTTATAAGCACAACAGAATATACTCCATTTATATAGGGTAAAAGCCGGATAGTTGCCCCACTTTTCAAAAAAGCTTTATATTTTTTAAATATTTACTTGCTGAAAATTATACGATATGTATTTCATAACATAGGTCTTTTATCTTCTATTATAGCCTATTTTTGTTAACATAATTAACACTGGTTTTACTTAAATCCTGTTTTATTTGGCCTCTGAAAAAACGGATAGTTGCCTACTGTGGCGGATAGTCGCCTAGCGCGGAAAATCCTTCGAGGGATACTTGCCTCGTGCGAGGATAGTCACCTCGATATATGTTTTTTTGGGATAAAAATAAATTTATATCAATTTAATTAATCTTTATCATTTATTTATCAGTCTTCATAATTTAATGAGATCTTTTATTAAGTACACATTAAAATATTAATTAACATTATTAAATATTCTTCAGTTTTAATGCTTTAAAATATAAAAATATTATTCAAACTTCAGGTTATTATTAATCTTCTCTTCCTTAAAGCTTTTCCCTTATTATGTTTCATAAACTCTGCGTTATCAGATTCAGTTTCACTGCTAGTCTTATCAATATATTTTTTGGTGTTTTTATTTTTTTGCGGTTTTCCTTTTTTTTTCTCAATGCTTTTCTTGTTACCAGCTAGTTTGTTTTTTACTGTCTAACGTTTTTCTTTTTCTCTGTGATAATTTTATTTGTTTTTTTTTTATTTTTTCGGCTTTATCCTTCTTCCGGACTATTTTATCGTCAGAGTTTAAAATTTCTGCCGATTGTTTAGCTCTTTTAGTCATGCTAAGTGGTATTACAAGTGCTAAGCTATCTTCTGTCCAGCTGATGCGGCGTGGCACTACGCCTGGTTTTCGCTTGTACTTGCGAGGCATTTTGCTTTCCTAAAATAAATATATAAAACAGTTAACTATTTATTTTGTTTAAAACAAGTTATAAGTCACAGTAAATTGGAAAAAACAACAAAAGAAAAAAAAACTGTGCTTGCTCGATGAAGAATTTACAGTCACTCTAGGGGCAACTATCCGCAAAAGTAAGTAGGGCGACTATCCTTTTTGATGCGGATACTTGCCCTTTTTATTTAAAAAATAAAAAAAAACTATTGAGTAATAAAACATTATAATTTAGACTCTAATGCATACAAAGAAACAAAAAGTTGACTGAAAGCACGATCAATAATAAAAATATTCAACTAAAATTACTTACCAAAATAAGATCAACGCCCGTCAGCGTTTTACAGCGGAAGATTTTTGCTCACACGGACAAAACACGTTCGCCTACTCCGATTGCTTACATGGCACTGAGGCCTGTGGGGGGTCACTTCTTATTGTAGTAAAGCGCTAACATAACTAATACTCCTATCATAGTGTATTCAAAACCGGGGCAACTATCCGTCTGAGGCAACTATCCGGCTTTTACCCTAGTGGAATTTGAATGAGTAGTAGGTACCTATTATAGTATTGGTAGGGTAGCGCCGACTGGTCGTACGGCAGCGTTTCCCCGTAGAGCGCCACGTCCGCCTCGCACAGGCCCGGGCTCCGGACCTCGCTCTTTACACCACCTGCCGAACAATATTCATATAAATCTAACATTGGTATTTACTAAGAGGTACTGGTGAAGTAACCATACAACTTGGATTAGGTATGTACTCGATGTTGAAAATAATAAAAAGTTGGCGTAATTAAGGGGCTGATGTGTACTTGTACTTTGTACTTAGTATTTTGGTACCAACAGTAAACTAGTTTCTACCTGCAATATTTTTTGGGATTAATTCTAAATCTTTAAAAGTGTGATACGAACTTTGTGCAACGTAATTTGAAAGTATGTTTCTAAAATGACACAAAATATTCTTTTCAGTCATATGTGTAACAGTGAAATCTGTAAAGTGCTGAACTTAGTAACTTTCAACAATAAATATGAATACAAAATAAATATTTTTAATGACTCCACCACTTCAAGTTTGGTGTCGAATATGTTTTCACAAAAACAAGTTAAATTATACCGAAATTTGGATGTCACGAACCCGCACTATCCTCATTCATCAACCAGGCAACCGCAGCTGAGGAGGAGGTAGAACACAATCCTCCAGTTGATGTCAGCGGCAGTGCCAGACCCCCTAGCGAAGAACCAGTTGAGCATCCGTTCGCCAAACTGCAGCTCTCCACTTCAGAAGTACCAGGAAGACATAAACTATCAACAGCCGATAAACTGAGAGCTGTATTCGTAGCTGATGTCGTGTTCTGAAACAGTGTTGATGTTCCGGAGACTAGGAGAGCTGGCAACGTTGCATCCTGCAGCAGGGATGGCGGAGAGTTTGAAGTTGATTCTGATTCGCAAGGACTAGTGTTGACTTCGCCCGACAACCTAAAAAAACAGATGTCATTAATTTAAAACAATGGCTACGGTATAAGAGACATGTAAATAATTATTTCTCGTTGCTTTGTTTACGACAATTAAAAGCTAAAGTGGACATTTAAGCGCAGTTGTTTACGGAATAATCGTTTTTTGAGTTGGTCTAACAAAACAACCGTCTTTTATCATAACAAAGGGTAAAAAATCGTAAAAGTGTCTTCCGTTTCGTTCCGTTGATTTTTGTAGGACTGTGATGTCTTAATTTGAAAGCTATAAATTAGGTAACGATTAAGTCTAATCGCTCGATAGTCGAATTTAGATTGAAATATAAATCGTATTTTTTGTTTGAGTTGTAAATTGACAAACAGGAAATAGCTACTTGAAATTGTTGCATCAGTACCTAGACTAGATGGCCTCATTACAATGATGCTGTTTTTAATCCGTCTGAATGTATTTTTGTGTGTTTTGGTTGCGTGATGTCTTAAATTTTTAATCATCATAAACAGCCTAGAATACATAAGCCTCTCCTTAGAAAGGAGGTTTTGGCCTACTATGCCACGCTGGCCAGACGTGTTGGTATAGGGTTTACATCTACCCTTTTTAGTTTAAAATAATAACTACTTTTCATTGGATTAGTAGTTAAGTATCAATTTAAGACTTTAGTTGCTGATTGATGTAACTAGTCCCCCCTTAGTAAGTTTCTTGCCAATTATATGCTATTAGAACCTTTAAAGATGTATTAATGTTTCTGCCTCACTGTTTGTAAAATCGTACTGACATAAACAAGACCTATTAAAAAGCTTTTCAAGGTTTTTACTTAGATAAATTTATGTACATAATAATGTTTTCATTAAACTTGGTGCTAAATGCGCTAAGCGAGATGTAACTTACACGCAAATAAAACTGCGCCCAATATCCAGTATCTATGCGATAAGTATAAAAAGTATTCGGTATTTAGTTATCAATGGTTATTGTTAATAGTAAATAATTAATAGTTGAAATCTATAGTATAACTTTCGGATTTAATGGATATCTAATACTTAGATGTAAGTAAGATATGTTACGTAAAACTTTAGTGTTCTAGAATACTTAAATTAAAAAAAAAGTAATTTTGTTTAATGCTTGTGTTATTTGTAAATATGACATTTATGATAAAGAATTGTAATGTTAATTAAGTACTATTTAAGTAATGTTTCTTTTGCATATCAACGATATGTTTGATATGAACTAGTATCATCCATTGCTATGCAGATGATAGCACGGGAGATGCCTTTTATACCGGCCTCCCTAAGATTATTTCATGAGAAATTTTGTGTCCATTTTAAACCCAAAAAATACACAGGTTGCGCGTTCACCGCAAAAAAGATAACGTTTGTCCCTTGATAATTGAAGACATTTATTTTCACAAAGTCCCTTTTCTTCCATTGTTTTTTTACACACACCATTGCACAAGTATTAAAGTATTGTAACATAACACATTAATAACAGTCAACATATTGCCCCAATTAAAATCGTGTTAAATAAACTAAATCTCAATCAGTGTGTACTAAATTAGTATCATTAAAACAAATCACCAGAATCGTATAACAGATGCCACAATTTGTGTGCCCCTATCTCTCGGGACGACGGATTTATCAAACAAAATGTTTACACGTGTTTCGATTAATTAAGCCCCTTATCAACACTTGTGAACGCACATATACCATGCGCCATTATTAAATCAATTCCCGCGCTGTCATACTGACACCTCATGACGTCATGTTTTCTTTTTTTGGCGGTAAAATTGTTTTATCTTAAAACCGAAATACAAAGTATGATAATGTCTCTACTAGTTTTGCTCCCGTAAAAGTAATTTTCCATTCCTTGTAATTTTTTTTAAAGGCACCCTGTTCTCGATGTTCTTTTGCTATAAGTATTCATTTTTATTGGAGATAACTTTCACTTCGTCATATTTAATAAGTTAAAGTACATATGGATCGTTAAAGTAATTTCCATCCATAATATAACTAACTAAATTGCTGTCGTATAATTGAATGAAATAATTTAATTATTCAAATTAAATTATTTAACATACCTAATGATTAAGTATGCAAATGGTATAACTTTGATCGTATATCATTGTCATAATGAATAAGTTGTCACCAAATTATTTTACTTTTGGCATAAAAAACTCATAAAGTTTTGTGTCGATATTAATTAACAACAAGTTCAAAGTCGAAAATACGCCAATTTTGAAATGCTGAGTTCAATTTTGAATTGCCGGAAATTTAAGTTCATTAAGAAGCCAAGATCGTCACTTTGTCTAGTGTGTGTACAATCCTACCTAGAGGTAGAATTCTCTTTACAGAGTTGAGGATTTGGAGGATTGTGTCGTTTTGTTTCTCAAAATCACGCCACTTTTAATTCAGTCATAATTAAACCCTATAAAAATTGAATTAATTTTTAACTTTTAACAATTTTGCGAATAGTATAAATTATACACTACTTGGCCACACCTAACACACATTTTACATAATTTTAAGCAATAAAATCTGTAGAACAACCTATTACATACTCGAAACTATGTTATTCTGTATATAAGAATAGCACCTGTTTCATTACTGTATGAATATTTACATTTTAACTTAATTTATATTATCTGTGTAAGATTGATTGTGCCTATTGTAATATTCATTTGACAGGAACAGTATTTAAAAATATACAATGTTTTTAACCTGTTCTCTAGCAGCAGGGGGCAGGTCCTTTAGCATAAATGCGACCAGTTCAAGACTGTTTCTTTTCCTTCCTTATTAAAAATATGTTTAATTAAATTACTGCACGTTATTTATCTTTCACCGTAAGGTTTGCTAATTTATAGGACCATTTCAAGGTTTATATATTCTGTTTCTGTCGTGTATTATTCCGGAATATAGGTAAATGCGTAAATTTGCCAGTATAGATTGGGGTGTTCTTTACAAAAAGTTTTATGATTGTCTATGAGTATTATACAATGGAAATCTGGAATCACATTCCTATGTCTCGAAGAAAAGGTATTGAAAATTACAATACTTTTCTAATCAAAGAGGTTAGAGACAAAATTTAACTTGTAATTAGTTTAGTTGTATGTTACAGATAATATTATAGATTATTAGTGGATTATTTTATCTTTATTAAGGCCCACTAGCTTAACCCGGCGTCTGCTAGGTTGGGTCATAATGACCCGTGATGATTTTAAATGCGGATATTTAAGAAAATAATAGTGTAACGTTATCACGCTTCTCAGTAGCTGCAGTTAGTGCCCCGCCTCCCTCGTTTCTTATGTCAACTTAGACGGTATGCGCCTGCACAGGAAGATAGACGCGGTCAAACAACAAAAAGGTAAATATGACCCAACTGTACATTCGATGATACCATTTCGTGCCAATTACGTTGACTTCATTATTTGATTATTTCGTTTATTTATTTGTACCGACATTACGTATATTACATTATATTTTGTTATTTTAAGGTTATATTTGAATAATGGATAAAGAGGAACGCGAAAGGCAGCGAATTCTGTCAATATTGGAAAAAAAACGACTCGGAAGAAGGTGAAAATTCTTCGGAATGCGAGGAAGATTATCACGTTAGCGAGCGTTCTCAACAGAGTGATACCGAGCAAGAGGCATCAGAAAATGATGATGATGATGTACCTTTGAGTGTCATCCAACGTCAAGTGTATTCATCCGTACGTAGATCTAATCAGCACAATTCATCGGATGCAGAAACATCGAATCATGAGGTACTGATTTCAACTTATTCTGGTAAAGATGGTACAATATGGCGCAAAAAACCTTATAGACAAAATGTTCGCATCCGATCAGAAAATATTATTACTTTTACGCCAGGAGTTCAGTCTGGAGCGTGCTAAATCTGAAAAGGAGTGCTGGAACATTTATTTCGATAGTGAAATGTTGGACGCTATTCTCATATATACAAATTCACGAATCAGAGTAAAGATAATGTCTTGCTCTTATAAATGATCACTTGAGCGCTCGCAAGTAGATGCGCAAAAGAATAAGAGAGTTTACAGGAGAAACATCAGAGGAGCCCCCTGCTAAAGTTTGTGGTGTTCGTAAAGGATGCCAGATATGCCCCGCTAAAAAAGACTAAAACTACCCATACCTGTCAAAGATGCAACAAATTCATCTGCCCTGAACATATAATTTCCTTCTGTGGCGGTTGCGTAGATGACGAGGCTAATAGTGATTAACCCTAAGATTCTTTAAATTTTTTACATGTACTTTCTTAAAGATCTCATATTTGTCATTCCAAAAAGTTAAAAATAAGTGTTATTTAGTCTTTTTTTATTTTTTATTAATAAGTTTCTAGAAGTTGTTTTTTTTTTGTAAATTTTTTACCGACTTCTTAAATACATAAAAAGATCTTTATATAACTTATTTTTTTTATTTTGTCTCCAAAATATTATAACTTAAGAACTATTCTTCAAGTTAAACACAAATTTGCTCTAAATGTCATTGAAATGGTAAAAATCAGCTACGGTTTAAAATCTGGGTAATTATGACCCATCATGCAGTTGTTGTACCTATTTTCTACCATGCTGACGCCGGGTTAATAATAAGATTATGTAGAATTACACTTCAAGGAGTCTCGCGGTCTACAGTTATTGGTGACATTTATAAAACATAAATTTTCTTAGAGCTTGTTTTCTTTGAAATGCATATGGAGATTAGTTTATGTCATAAATAGCAATAGCTTGACCTTTTAATAAAAAAAATATTCGGTTACATCAAAGCTCTAAAGATCAAATTAATATGATTATAACATAAATAACAGCAAAAGTAAATAATACACCAATTATAAAGTCAAGAGGCCGAACACCGCTGCCTTTGTCTAGAAAAAAGCCCTTGTTTATATTAGTTCGCGCCTTTTTCAAGTGTCACTTTCGAATTTCGAGCATCGAACAACACTATCATATATCAAACGACGGAATTTTTACAGTTAATGTTAGCATTGTCACTATCTTCTTAATT